ATCGCAGAGGGAAAACAAAACATCATCTCGGCAGCCCAAGCAACAAGCCATTAAAATCATAACCTTGGGCGTGTATTAATCGAGTGATCCCCCACCCCACCCCCTTTATCAACATACATTCTTCCACCGATTTTGATCTGGATTACGGGGCTTGTTCTGTTTTCTGGTTCCGCTGGTATTTCTGTTTCCGTGCAAACATCTGGCGAGATAAGGGCCTATATAAGACTGCCCCGCCCCGCCTCCCCTCGGCACAACGCCCCTTCCCCCCAAGCGCTCCAACAACAAAAGTTGCTTTTGCAAAAAAAAACGGCGCTGAACGTAAGTTGCATTACGTCATCGTTTCGAGGGCAATTTTAGACTCTGATTGTGCCATATATATACATAGACGTCCATATACTCAGTTATAGTTTTGCCTTTGGACACAACAGACGCCCGCGCATCAGAACTTTTTACAGGCCAGAGGGGACCGAGATCAAAAGATGATTCATGTGGGCGAGAATACGTGGAACCTGCGGATCCTCATCACGGATCTGCAGGTGGAGAAGACGCTGCGGGTGAAGGGGGATCAGCATATCGGCGGTGTCATGCTGAACCTCGTGGATCCGGAGATGCCCAAGGATTGGTCCGATCACGCCCTTTGGTGGCCCGCCAAGAATGTGTGGCTGACCAGGACGAGATCCACTCTGGACCAGGCTGGAGTCCAATCCGATTCGTTTCTGCACTTCACACCCATGCACAAAACGCTGAGGGTTCAAATGCCCGATCTACGCTATCTCGACTATCGTGTCAACTTCTCGGCCAAGACTTTTGGGGCCGTGGTTAGCCTGTGCAAGGATCTGGACATTCGCTACCCGGAGGAGCTGTCGTTCTGCAAACCCCTGGAGCCGGAGCATCTCAAGAAGAACTTCTCCAAGCTGCCGCAGCGCAAGATTCCTGTGGCGGACGCGAATGGCATTGGCTTTTTGCAGCCAGCGGCGGACACCAACTCCTTTGTCCCCATCACAGGAGCCTACAATGGCAGCAATAGCAGTCTGGATCGCTCGCACAATGGCAACCTGCTGTGTGCCCCGGCCTCGCCATATGCCACCACGCCCCGAAGGGCAGCCACTGCCCCTGGAACGCCCATTAGCTCGCCCACAGGCACCTGGAAGCACAACTCCACGGGCTACGCCAGCTACGATTCAAACTCCAGTTTCGGCGACCTCCAGGAGAACCTGGCTATGTCGCCCAGGTCACCCAGTCCGGATGTAAGAGCCCGCCTGATTAGGCCCAAGACTCGGGTGGAGAAAGCCCGTCTCAATGTGGGCTGGCTGGACTCATCGCTGTCCATCATGGAACAGGGCGTTCGGGAGTACGACACCCTCTGCCTTCGCTTTAAATACTTCACGTTCTTCGATCTGAACCCCAAGTACGACCAGGTGAGGATCAACCAGCTTTACGAGCAGGCCAAATGGAGCATCCTTAACGAGGAACTGGACGCCACCGAGGAGGAGACCCTCATGTTTGCCGCCCTGCAGTTCCAGGTGAATCACCAGACGGATCTGCATCCACCAGGCATCGATTCCGGAATAGACACCTCCAGTCAGGAGACTGGCGGCGAGGACGACATTGACTCCGCTCTCAACGAGCTGCAGATCACCCTAGAAGGCCCGGGAGGTGGCAAGGATCAGGGCAACATCACCAGGATACCAGAGCTATCGGACTATCTGAAATTCCTCAAGCCCCAGCGGTTCACGCTCAAGGGATACAAGCGCTACTTTTTCACCTACAGGGATCTGCATCTGCACCTGTACAAATCGCAGGAGGAGTCCCGTCGGGGAGCTCCCAGCATTAGCATCAATTTGCGGGGCTGCGAGGTGACGCCCGATGTTAACTTGGCCCAAGGAAAGTTTGCAATTCGCTTGGAGGTTCCGCCAGAGGGCAGGAATGGTCCGAATAGCGAGGTCTGGGTGAGATGCGAGAACGAGGAGCAGTATGCCAAGTGGATGGCCGCCTGTCGTCTGGCTGCCAAGGGCCGCTCTCTGGCCGATAGCTCCTACGACAGCGAAGTGAGCAGCATTCGCTCGCTGCTCCAGATGCAGAAACCCGCCCAGGGAGCTCCGCTCGCCGTGAATCCCAGGAGTGTTGAGCCCATGGATTACCTGTCACCTAAGATGATGCGCAAACTATCGAGCAAGGCGGTGCAGCGGATTCTGGAGGCCCATGCCAATGTTAAGCAGTTGCCCCTGATGGAGGCCAAGATGAAGTACATCCAGGCCTGGCAGTCCCTGCCAGATTTTGGCGTAACTCTCTTCGTCATCAAGTTCGACGGACACAAGAAGGAGGAGTTGCTGGGCGTGGCCAACAATCGCATCATGCGGATGGACCTCAACTCCGGCGATCACATCAAGACCTGGCGCTACAACACGATGAAGGCCTGGAACGTCAACTGGGGCATCAAGTGCATGATGATCCAGCTGCAAGACGAGAACATCATCTTCTCCGTCCAGTCGGCGGACTGCAAGGTCGTGCACGAGTTCATCGGTGGCTACATATTCATGTCCATGCGCTCCAAGGAGAACAACCAGACGCTGAACGAGGAGATGTTCCACAAGCTGACGGGCGGCTGGTCGTAAACGGATTATCGGAATCGTGAGGAGGAGTAAAGTGGAGTGGAGTCTTACGAGTGCCAAGCACAAACCTCGTCGCATGTTCTACAGTTTTATCTACATATATTTACCTACAGAAGGGTGCGTTGATTTATGGGTTGAGAAGTAATCTGCGGACTATGCTAGGCAAATATGTCTTAACATTAGTTTTAAATGCACCAATGCCAAATTATTAGCAAGGTCATTTTTGTCTTCTGGTTTTGAAAAACAAAAGTAACCCAATTTTATATCTACTTTGTAAACTACTTTGACAGACTAGTAGTAAAAATTGTTTTTATTTTCTTACTGTCGGCATTTACCTAAAAATAATTAATTTTAAAACGACCAGAAAATAATTTGTGTTGTAGGAACGTATTCTATATCTAGGGCAATGCTTAACTTGATTTTAAAACTGAAATTGCTTGAAATTGTCCAAAGATTACCTCCATTTTTTATCAACCCAGTCAGTCGACGCACCCTAGTCGAAAGCGTTGTGTGTTTAAGTGTTAATGGAAGTGGAATTCTAGACTAATAGCAATCACCACGCTGATAACGATGTTGTGCCTTCGCCAGAGCAATCTTAACCCAAAACAAGTCCAAGTCAATGTCCTGTGTTCTCTGTGTTGTCTGTTTTCTAACACAGCGTTAAAGTTACACTACTTAAGTCCTTTTTGTACCACTCTTGTGCGGACTTGCGCGACTAACCCGCAGTTTTACATATTGTATATTTATTAAACAAATTAATAAGCAGAATAAATTATTTTATATGTTTTTAATGATCGTAAACGACGGCTTGTTTATTTGCCTTACACTCCACATTCCACTGGCAGCTGGAAACCCGATTCCAAATGGATTACTCATCGAAATTTATAGGGGGCTACGGCTTCCAAAGGGGCGTTGATGCAAGAGTCGGGCGTTTAATATAAAGCACGGGTATTGTTATTAATAACAGCGCACTCAATTGGATTGATAAGCACCACGACTGAGTCGTCGTTATGTGGGGATTGTAGATTATAGGAAGCTCCGGGCAATACCGTTGATTGATGACCCCGGTCGGAGAGTTATTTGTGCGCCTCGGAATGGGGCAACTTCTCACGCAACGGCTGGCGAAATCTTCAATTTGATTTAATTTAACGGGGTGACTCTTAAGAAAAAAAAATGAATTGCCGGATATGAATAACGAGTGATAAATAAAGAATCAGTCGAAGAATGTTTTAGAAGATTTGTTTTTGAAATGAGTTATCTCTAATAAGTTTTTATGGGAGATTTGTTTTTTAAATGACTTAAAATATTTTTTAAATAGGTTATCATACAATTTTGGGAGCATCTGTCTTTTTATTTTTTGAAAATACGTGTTAACTATTCTATTGAGTGTTTGCAATTATATAAGTTTTACTGTAATTGCTTGAATGTCTAAAAATAATAATGAAAATGCCTTACGAAAATTCGTCACAGGCGTAAGTATTCACTTAACCACTTGTATGACTTTCAAAGGCTGAAAAATGCGACTATAAATAAAAAGTGATTAACTAAAATCGGTTATACCAAATACTTGCATTAATAAGTGTTATTTTGAAAATGCCCCAGGGCTATTCATAAATTTGAATCACATACAGATAAAATTAATTTGTTTTTATTTTTATATAACTTTAATAATAACATGATTTATATAAAAACAATTCGACATAACAAAAAATATAAAACAGATTAGCCCACTTTCTTCTCGAAGAAAGGAAAAGATATAATGCTTTTTGATTTCTTTGCTATATCCTATTTTTTTTAATATTTTTTGAGTGGCTAATGGCATTAAGCCCATATTTGACGTAATTTAAAGATAAATAAGGCAATTTAAAAAATCCGCAAAGTTATATAAATTAGCTTTAATTTAATACATAATATAAATATTTTCCATTTAGTCGTACTAAAGATTTTTTCGATTTTATAATAATTTATTTTAATTTTCCTTGCCATTCAAGGAAACAAGCCAGTACGTAATACCGTTGGAAATCGTAAAGCCTTACGAATTGGTATATTCAGCACACGGTCAAGTAACAGAAAAAATACCAAACCTTTTTTTGGCGCGTATTTTTAAAAATTTGCAAATCTTCAATAAGAATTATAATCGAGATATTTAAAATATCTGGACAAATGTCTTATTCCACAATCCAAAAATGTATGTATATTTGATTTTTTACAGAAGCTACAGGCATACAAAAGCAGCAGGGTAAAAAAGTTAAACGTTTTTCTTATTGAATTGAATTTTAAATTTCTGGTAACGGTAAAAACATCGAAAGCAATCAATGTGGCAGGAATATATCGATATTTCGCGGTTTCAATAAACATCGATTGTATTACTAAAAAAATCGTCTTGTAGTTCCATCTCTGCTGCATCAGCTGCTAGAAAAAATACCAAACTCTGTCGCGCATTTTCAATCGCAAATTAAACGCTGTTAATTTCGCTTAGCGACCTCCGTTCTCGAATTACAAAGCAATTCGTATGGATTCCAAGGAATCTAGTGAAGTTAAAAGTGAAAAGTTACATTTCTAACGGTGTTTTGAGGCACCTGCGTTTTTTTCGTGCATTTTTCAATCCGTTCACACGAACGCACACACACACACACACGGAGAAACGACCGTGCAGCGAATGGGTGTGTGTGTGTGAAATTGTGCAAAAACCTGTGACGACAGAGGGGGCGGGGGAGGAGGGGGATTTTCTGCTGTGTGTTGAAAGCAAAATATTCATTGTTTTTCCCCGTGTGTGCACTATAAATTCATATTTAAGTGTCTGCGTCATGTGGGGACCGCTTACCTCCCGCCAGCGTATTCAGCAGCCGAAAAGACAGCTGCTCATTTGGCGAGTGTAAACAAAGCAGCACACACACACACACACACGCACGCATACTCGTTTACCTGGCGGCGACTGCGACGCCAACAGCGACGGCGACGCCGACTGCAACTGCGCTGCCCATCACGCATATCGAATTTCACATCTTTAAGCCAGAAAAGAAGGAAATCTCCATATATCGCACTTCCATCTGCCGCCACATCTTTTGTCTGGCCAACCTGTTCGCTTCCAGACAGGAAGTTTGCCAATTTTCGCAAGTTTAGCCAAGTGCAGCGAGGCAGCGACGTCGACGTCCTCTGCCCGCGTCGCAGCAGCTGCGGATCTTAATATTCGGTGAGTGTTCCAAAAAACAAAGAAAAACAAACCCTTTCGTACACCTCGGGGAAATGTTACAATGTTCGAACAAAAAACAATAAAATGGGACCTAGCCCCTTTACGCATTTCGGGGTGGGATGGTTGTCATACAGTGAAGCACCCATAAATCAAACGCAGTAAAAGTCCCTAACCATATTTACATATAAAGTGGATACCTATGGTTACCAAACAGCTTATTATAAGTTATACCAGGAAACTCCGATTAATTGGACTATCCTATAAGCAGAGCAGAAAGCATGAAAGCAGCATGAGTTCGTTTCGTTGTTTTAGTTCGATATTACCTTATAGCTTAGCTATGAAAGCAATAACCCATGCAATATTAAGATATTAATAGTTGTACAGAAAAACTTAGGTAAAGTAAACTGTTTTGCAAAGCAGAAAACATAAACAAAGTAATTTCCAATGGAATTTAGTTTAGGTGTTGTATAGGATAATATCATCATTTCTTTATAATTATTATATATGTACAATTGGCTAATACATCGAAAAGTACAAAAATATATGAATGTTTTTGAAAATGGGACTTAAACCGACGGACGGAGTTTTGTTCCAATTCCAATCTATGTTATTTTATGCACAATTGGAACATTGATCAATTTTATATAGTCTGAAACCGGACCCTTTGCTTTTATCAATACTCACTTTCCATTATTTAATCGAATTACATGCTATAGCCGCCCATTTTCAAATCACAGAGGTACGACTGTATTTAAAATTCAACATGTGTTCGTACCTGGGTTATTTCTGTACCTCGAAGTCACCATTTTTCGAAACTCTGTTTGGCGACAGATGTTAAGCTATGGACGTTCGACTGTATCTAAATTACCCAGCTGATAACCAGCTCTCAACTGGGCGTTGTTGTCTCTTTGGACATCTCTGCCCGCCTCTCGTATCCGCTAAATTCCAGTTTCCGTCCGAATAATTACTCAAACTGTCGCCGCAAAGTGTAATTTCTATTATTCGTTCGTTAACAATAGAAATTAGCAGCCAGGTTTCAATTTTTTTTGCACCCCAGGGAAATCCTATGGGACATGCATATCGCTTTCGTTCCGAACCTCCATCTGCTCACCTTTTATCGCGTTCTATAAATAAACTCCACTTCAGCACGCGCCAGAGTTCAAGCTGCCTTTTCTGAGATCCCAATCCCCTTTTCTTTCGAATCCCCCGACTTTCATATCACTTCCGTATAAGGGAGGTTCGGGTTCATAAGGTGACGCAACGTATTTACGTGGATTGCCAAGAAAACGTGACGTCATGGGGGACATATTTACACAAATCCACTTTTGTGTGCATCGGCCCCTTGGAAACAGCAACAAGTCAATCGTTTGTCTGAATTCATTTAACTTAATAAATCAGTTATCTTGCAACTAGCTCAGCTTACTTCCTGTGCCCTTTCAGGAAATCGGAAATTTACATTTGTCATTTGATATTCCTTATATAAATAAATGATTCGTTTCAATACGATTTTAAAAATATTATTCACCAGCTTTCGTATGTGATAAGTAGACGTCGGATTATATGTGGAATTATTTGCTTAACAAAAAGCTTCAAGTGACACTTAATTGCTTTAAATTTTTTTGAATATAATAATAATAACATTTACACCAAATCCACTTGTAGTTTATGACATTAATTAGAAACCAATTGCGGCAAAAGAGATTTTTCGGATATGATAAGCTATCAGTAATAACTACATTTGGGGGCGACTTTATGGTAAATCGAAACATATGTTTAATTTTATGACATTTCTTTTGGGGATAATATTAACACAAAAGCCAATGAACTTTTTAACAAAGATAGAATGTTGACATTTGTAATACAATCAATTAAAGTTTCAGATTAGTCTAAAAATATTTTATACATTTATTTTTAAAAAATAGGTTATCAATGATTAAACCAGGAAGGTTTACTTATTGTAGGGTTTAAAATCATTGCCCTATACTATTTATTTATAAATATTTATCAAGCCACTTGATTAAACCCGTAGTTTCATTAGTATTTTATGGCGTCAGAAATCACTGAGCATTTGGCTCCACCTTCTGTAAATCGCAACATATGGAATTGCTTTTACTGCCCATAAATGTTGCGCACTTTCGCTGTTTCCCCACCGTGTTATCGCTTACTGCGGGGATTACGTGATTGCGCAACTGACCCAGTGCCCTTGACCAAAGTTCATTAACCGATCACTATGTGTTTGATATTGCCTTCATTCGATTGTGTTTCGTTCTGCGTTCTTTCAGGACATGACCTCCACTTCCGCGGTGGATGGCGGCCAGAGTAGCGAGACGGCCTGGCTGGAGGATCTGCTGCGCGAGGTGCAGCTGGAGCAGTTCCTGGACAGGATACGCGATGACCTGCAGGTGACCCGGCTGGCGCACTTCGACTACGTCCTGCCCGAAGATCTGGAACGATGTGGGCTGGGCAAGCCGGCCATCCGGCGCCTAATGGAGGCAGTGCGCAAAAAGAAGGCCCACCAGTGGCGCAAGAACATCCTGTCCAAGCTGATTGGTGGCGGCAAGCAGCCCTCGTCCAAGAAGCAGTCCTCCTCCGCCCGGGAGTCCACTCAGGGCAATGGCACCCAGCTAACCTGCCTCATCCACGAAAAGGACATCACAATGGGCCTGAAGCTGGGCGACGGATCCTTCGGAGTGGTGCGACGAGGCGAATGGAGTGCCTCACCAGCGGGCAAGGTCATCCCGGTGGCCGTCAAGGTGCTCAAGTCGGACAACCTCACCCAGCCGGGCATTATTGACGACTTCTTCCGAGAGGTTCAGGCCATGCACGCCCTGGATCACCCGAATCTGGTGCGGCTTTACGGCGTGGTGCTATCCCAGCCCATGATGATGATCACAGAGCTGGCGGAAAGAGGATCCCTGCTGGACACGCTGCGCAAACAGTGCCGGCACACATCGCTGACCATCATCTGGAACTGGTCGGTGCAGATTGTGACGGGCATGGCCTATCTGGAGCAGAAGCGCTTCCTGCATCGTGATCTCGCCTGCCGGAATGTCCTGCTGGCAGCTGGCAACAAGATCAAGATCGGGGATTTTGGCCTGATGCGTGCCTTGCCGCAAGAGGATGACTGCTATGTGATGTCCGAGCACAAGAAGGTGCCTTTTCCCTGGTGCGCTCCGGAATCGCTGCGCTTCCGGCAGTTCTCGCACGCCTCTGACACCTGGATGTTTGGCGTTACGCTGTGGGAGATGTTTAGCTTTGGCGAGGATCCCTGGGTGGGTCTGAATGGCTCACAGATCCTACGCAAGATCGATCGCGAGGGAGAGCGACTGCATCAGCCGGACGCCTGTCCGCCGGACGTCTACGCTATGATGCTGCAGTGCTGGGATAAAACGCCGGCAGAGCGACCCACCTTTGCCGCCCTCAAGTAGGTTTCTATCTGTTATTAAAACTCGGATTCATCTAATCCTTATCCTTGATTTACAGAGAATATCTGGCCAGTATGTCACCGCCTGTGATGCGTGCCTCACGAAGTCACCACGAGTCCAAGGGACTGCAAATCGAGCCCGGCGACACGATTGCCATTATCGATGGCCGCCACGAACTAAAGTTAATCAAGGGTCAGAACCAGCGCACTTTTGACATAGGAATCTTTCCCAGGAGTCTGCTGGAGCAGCGGAAAGTGGGTGCAGCCGGAGATGTGGTGATGCGCAGCAGCATGAGCAATGGCTCGTCGTCCTCGCCCTTCGGTTTCTGCTGGGGTGGAGCGGCTGCCATGGCCAATGGCGAGGATCGGCAGCGAAAGACCGCCTCCTTGACGAGCCAGGCACACGCCAAGGAGCGCAAGTCGACGTCCAGCAAGCAGTTCGCCTACAACAAACTGGTCAATGAGGCAGCGGCGGCCGGTCTTCATCGACGCAATGCGGTGAAGCACAAAGGCGCAGTGGTCGGTCCACAGCGACCTCCACCGCCGCAGTTCCAGCAGGAGGGCATACTAATCGACATTTCGCCCGACATGCGGCCCTCGGCAGGAGGCGGAGTTGAGGGAGCAGGCGATAGTTCATCTCTGCAGGCGGACAGCTCTTTTTGCCTTTTGGATGCTCCTATAGATGTGCCCACATATGCTGGATCCAGTGGATCGGGGGAACTAAACGTTTCACCCACATACTATAACGAGCAACCACAGTTTGACTTTGATCCGGCCAGCATGACAGCTTCTCCTGGACGCCTTCAGCCACCGCCGTATCAAATGCCACCCACTTACTCGAATACCATGGAGTTTGTCCAGAAACGAGACCTTCACCAGCAGCAGCTAGCGACTCCTGTAAGGGAACGAGATCCCTTTGACACCACAAACCTGGAAACGGCTGTGGCAATCTACTCGAATTTTAACAACTCTCTAGAGGCAGCTCCTCCACCAGCACCCATTTATAACAGTCCTTCGGTCAGAAAGAGTCTTTTTGGTGGCTCCAACTCGAATAAAGAAAACATACCTGCCCTGGAGTCAGCGGCCATGCAGCTAAATCTGAATAACCTCGCGTTGGAGCGACACGACACCCTCAGCATTCAGCCTATGGAGCCTATTCCAGCTCCTGCCACTGATGGAGTGCTGCTGGACAAATCCTTTATCGCCGAACTGGAAAAGGACATGTACAGCAATGGGCAGAATCGGGCGCATGAGGAGTACCAGCGCAATTCCACGCAGATGTATTCCAGCAAGGACATGGTATACAAACAGAATCTCACGCCACTGAAGAACGGCTCAGGCCATTCGAATCATTCCAGTCCCTCGTCGACCGCCTCGCCAAAGCAAAACAATTTGGAGGCAGCAGCAGCTGCGGCAGCAACCACGCAAAGTGTGGTCAATCGCATTTGGTACGAGCAGGTGGCCTCCACGTCCTCCGAGTACTACGCACAGCCGCCGCCAGAGCAGCCAGATGAGCAGATCTACCAAAATCATCATCAGCAGCAGCAGCAGCAAGAGTCTAACCACTCGTTTGTAGCCATTTCCAATAGGGTAGTGGCACCCAAGAACAGTGTTTACTCTTCATCCGCCTCCCTGTACGATGCAGTGGCAGCCAGCACGGCAGGATCCACGTACTACGGGCAAGTGCCGAACGGCAGTGGAGCTGTTCGATACGATGAGGTGACCCAGGATGACTACCTGAGGCCAACGCGACCTGCTCCCCTGGCGCCCCCTCCCCTCTCCGCCCAGCAGATCCAACGGCGGATGGAGAAGATGCGGCTGCAGCAACAGCAGGAGTTGGAGGGAGCCCATCAGCTGTATGCCCCAGTGCCCTCGGATTACGGACGCGAGCAGGAGAAACTCCAGCAGCTGATGCAGGAACTGGGCAGCTCAGCGGTGGAGCAGGATGTACGCAATGCTTTACGAGCGGCCAGCGGAGATGTGGGTCTGGCCACAAGGCACTACAAAATCGACCAGCTGGCGAGGTTGGGCGTGGCTGGGCGACCACAGTGCGAACAGGCGCTGCAGCAGACCAACTGGAGCCTAGAGGTGGCAGCTGAACTTCTACTGCAGTCTACAATTGCGGGATAAACTCGCGAACAGAAAGAAACAACCATGTATTACCGCCTCGAATATAATTGCTTTAGTTTTAATTGCTGAATATTCGTCTATAAATAGCTAACGATGTCTCGAATCTTTATCAAAATACTCCTAGGTGTCTGCACGAGAGCAAACACACATTGTCAACGACTGTACAATATGTTCTATTTTATATAAGCGATCGTATAAAATTATTTTATAATTGTTATTCGATGTCTGCATATTTTAGATGCCCCGAAATTTTATTTACAACTGAAATCGAATCGTTCGAAGGAAGGTTAAGGTCAAAAATATCAACGCATGCAACAATTAATTTGTTTTGAAATCAAATAAATTATATGTAATTGTTACAAAACATTCTTTTCTTTTAAATTTGGCGGCAACTTAGGAGGCTTAAAATATACCGCAGAAATATACTTGATTGCTGAATGGAAATATACCAACAAGCTTTAAAAAATATACTGGTCCATGGGTGTAGCAAAAAGGGGGTCGAAATTGTAACTGCTTATCAGCCGAGCAGAAAATGCGGTTAAAATTTGAATTTCAAATGTTGATTTGACGCAAGTAACATACAATTTGATTGTTGAAGTTTACGGATTCCACAAGGTATGCTTAGAAATTTAGGTAGTCCTTAGATGTGTAATATAATTATTATACTCAGAGGCATAATAAAATTAAAAAAAATGAGTATCCAAGACTTTACCGCCCAAACCATTAAAAGTTCCAGTAAATCATCAACACCACAATTTATGTTAAAAGAATAATTATTTATTTTCAACAGGGGACATTATTTAAAATAGATCTTTCAAAAGTGTGTAACACGTATATTTTCTCTGCCTGTAAATACATTATTTTAAATGCTCTGCGTTTTTGATTGGTATTCAGGTGGTTAGTTCGAAACAACATTGTAATCGTTACTCTACGAGATAGAAGACACTTTCACCAAACACAATTCATTTCGTTTTCGATCCGTTGATCACTTATTATCTCACTTTGCATGGGGACAATTTCCAACTGTCTTCGATGGCACAGAATCTGAGTGCGGTTTATATGGATCGAAACTATCCAAAAACGATCGTGTCGCAAATGCAAATGTTGAAAATAGAATAAATCATCCTAAGATCCGTATGTACGAGTACTTAATAATATTAAATTAAAGTAGTTTATGTTATTACATAACAGCATACGCCTGGTCAAATGGAATACAAATACAAATTGGTATCATAAATATATATCCGTATCATATCATTTAGGGGCTCTTCCCAAATTTAGCTCAAATCGTGAAAAGTGTGGAACCCAAAAGCGGCTGCGGAAGTGGTTGGCATTTTGGTTTGGTCTTTTATTGCGGAATGTCTGAGAGCGAAGGATGGGCGGAGGATCTCCTGGATGCAGGACGCAGATCTACATGTGCCGGGTGTTGCCGAAGTTGATTCCGGACTGGGTTGCGCCCTTGTTCGATCCGTACTGCAGGGAGATGACATTGGCGCCGGCGCGCAGCTGCTCATCGCTGAAGTTGCGCACGTTCTTGTCGGCCTCCTTGGGACCAATCGATGGCTTGTTGAAGTTCGAGGCCTATAAGGAGGGGTACTATTAATATGATTTTCTATAAATAAACATAAGTATCTAGAATTTATGTAGGAATTGTGTGGAATAAGCTCAGACTAATTGAATACTTTTCAAAACAGTAATATTATTTTAACCATTTCATTAGGTTACTATTATTTTTATAAATTGAATTAGTCCTATAAACACAAATTTTTGTGATGATAGTGGAAGAACTATAAAAATACCGATAAAAATTATCATATACTGTCATATGTTGTAAGAAATATACATTCTTCTTATAAAAGTGATCTTTGATCCCATTTTTCAATGTAATCAGCTCACCTTGCGACCCAGCGACTGCAGGCAGATAACCACCGAGTTCAGATTCTGGCGCTCCCACAGGTCAACGCTCTGGAAGGTCTCCTGGGTGGGCACACCGAAGTTCTTGGCGCACTCGAGGAAGGCCGAGATGTTCTCCATGCACTTGAAGGCCATCTTGCTCTCGTTGACCTTCTTGATGGATCCGGGCTGCAGGGCATTGGCCAGTTTGCACAGGATAACGCCATCCTTGAGCACTTCGAAGAAGTTGTCGGTGTCGCCGGATGTGTTGATGGGCTCAGCGGTGACGGCCTTGATCCACTCGAGGGATTCCTGGGCCAGCTCCTCGCTGTACTTGGAGTTGATCTAAAAAATAAGAACATTTTTAAAAATTAGTAAAGATTATTAATTATTTGAAGGATAAGGCAACCTTGGACTGATACATTTTCGGCTAATCCCAACCTGACTGCTGCACTTGGTAGACTAAAGCCAAAATCGGGGGTTAAATCAAGTACAGACCATTATTTTATTTGTGGGCCATTTCCCCCACGCTTATCTCATGAAATATCGCCGATAGCGGTCTTATCACTAATTGGTTATAAACATACAACACTCTCCACCTTTCCCTTTGTCTCGCACTCGTGACAATTTGGCGGTTATATTTCAAGTTACGATAAGGATAAGATTGCACTCGGTCGATCGGGTTGGTTGGGTTCTCATTTCTCTCAACGCCACTCCCCACAATTCCATTATTCTATATGTACAAATTATAAAAGTCAGTCACGTTCGCATGTTCTCTTTATTGAATAGTAAGTGTAAGTATTCCATATTTGCCAATGCCGATAGCTTCGACTGAGAGCTATAGCCTGCTTTAAATCTGATCGTCTTGACCATATTTGGGCCTAAGTTTACCGGCCGCTTGGGCGTCCTTCGCACCGATTTTGGCCATAGACAAAAAGCCACTTGTTGAGCCGAGCCAGCTGGCCCCCACTTCTATTGCCATTTCCACTCGATTGGCTCAAAACCACAAAAGCCAGAGTCAGAGTCCCAAAACAAACCGCAAAATCGTTGCGTGTCGCGTTTCCATTGGGCTTGCCAATAAAAATCAGACTCAAAATGTTTAGCAAACTATGGGTCATATCGCAGAGACTCACTTAACACGTATTTATTAGTTTTATTTGATTGAATTGAATTGCTGTCGCTAACAGATTTCAGATTAGCTGACATTTTATCAGAAAGTTCAAGTACCTATGCACAATTCAGGTTATTTTGGGAGTGATGATTTAAGCTAAAAGAAGTTACTTTTATTTCTTCGTGATAAAAAAGGTTCTGATAAAAGTTGGAACTTTGGTATATGGCTATAGAGCTATAAAAAGTAACAGTTGATAACGGAAAGATAATGGTTATTCAGGTTCTTTAGGTTCTTTGTTTATATTTGCATAAGTTTTATTTGTGGGAAAATCCATTATTTATAAGCTTTTAGTTACTCTACAAAGAGAAAAGTTTTGAATTGTTCCATCTAAAACTCAGTCAAGAGAACTATTATTTTACCCACTGTTGTATTACTTTTTAGTATTTGTGTGCTCTGACTGGCAAGTCTATTAAAATAAATGATCTCAGAGAAAACAAATGGAACGATTGTCGCCAATTGAGTTGTATTCCACTCCTTATCGCCAGTCGTGGGGAAATGCAAACTCGTAAATTGAGGGGGATTGAAGGGGAGGAGTTGGCGATGCAGTAAAAAAAAAGTGAAATACAGACCAGAAGCTTTCCCTGTGTTTGTTTGTACTTAATGAAGGTGAATGCACTTTGCGCACATTATATTATACCACTCCATCAAATTTCCACTCTCCCTCTTCAAAAACCAACAGAAGTAGGAAGTTATGGAAAATTTACGACTTTTTCGTGGTTTGAGCTCAATAAAAAACAGAAAACTCTCATTGAAATACGCAAAATAGAAGCGGAGAATATGGTAATCATTTGGAAATGTCTTTGTCTTTGAATTTCACTGGCTAAAACTAAAGATTATCGATAATTGCAATCGACCGTTGGGCAAATTGCTTTGTCCGAATTTTTGGGTATAACGGTCAAGCATTTAACAGCAGAGGTCAGTTCATTAGAGCTCAATGGCCAAAAATAAAAAGAGAAAAGATTGAAACCAAATAACAGCATCATCCATCATCGAAGCGGAGAGAAAAGCACCAAGAAGCGTGAGACAATTAATAAAAGCAATTTCAGATTGACATTCTTTTCGAGAATCTGGCCGAAGCCAGAAGTTGATGATCATAACTTAGAGCCCCTGATGATGGCAGATAAATTGACACCCTCCGGGCAGATGAATAAATTTTGATTAGGAATAAATTTGTTTATGGGATTCTGCGGCCAGTTTATGCATATACCATCCATACATAATCGCAAACCAAAAGCCGTTAAGAGCCTAATGAATACCGATCGTTTTTTACACGTTTTTCGAAAACCAATTCTTCCCAAACAAACCCCAACCAAATTCGGCAGTTGGTGGTCCCAGCAGACAAACAATGTTCGGAACTAAATGAAAAATGGTGAGGAATAGCCAAGTTATTTTGCCGTTTCTTCGAAGCCTCGTCTTCTTCTCTCCGCTTATTAAAATATTTTTAGCGTTGTTTTAATGAGTCAGCAGTCAGCGAATTTCATTCGTATTTTTTGTATGGCTTAGCGCTATAAGGTCGACTCGAAATTCAATGGCGATCGAGTGCCGGGGCATAAGTACAGCCAGTAATGGTGTACACCCATATATATATAATTTTAGCAAAAACATATGTACAGCTGTTTAGAACTTACTGCCTTATCGAGAGTGAGGAATTCCAGACAAAAAGCTTCCAGTTGATAGGGGAAAAAATGAAAATAACAATAATTAGAAGCGGAACTTAAAAGTTGGTCATCGTTTGCCGTTAGAAATGACGTCGGCGTAACGGTTTCCTTATGTTCTTCCTGACCAAAATTATTTTTCTAGGCGCTATTTTTTGGTTCTGTGGGTCACATGATGAATTAACCACGATTACGGGCAATTACAAAACGGCGTGACAATGAAATGCTCGCTAGACTCAAGAACCTAATTAATTTCCCAGCTTATGATGTGGATACACAAAGTATTTTGGGGTTGGGTCTCTTTTACAAGTACGTTCTGGGTGGTTGGCATTCCACACGCAATGCGCATTAGTGACCGAGACATGCTAAGCCAAGCCTGGTTGGCTTTTAGTGGAATTAAAATTAAAATGACCTAAAACCTGGCTAAGGCAAGCTTCCCGCATACTCTTGGCTCTTCAAAAAACCCCCGAAAAAAACTGAGGGTCAGCATAAACCCTAACTCCCAAGTAAAAAGTTTCTCTGGAGAGGGCCTGCCCACGCCAACTCAATTTAATTCACACCTACGCCACTTGAAAAGTGAAAATGTTGTTTTGGTACCACTATTTATTTATTTATCATGATTCAGTCCTCACAATTGAGTGCGAGTTCCGAGAATTCTATTAGTTGATCATGGTTCCCAAAAACAATTACATATCAAAGAACACTGGAAGTTTCCGGTAATTCGGAAAAAGATAGATTTTAAAACTGCTTTGTAACAAGCTTGTAATAATAATGTTATTTGGTTTTAAATTCCAGAATACAATATTTTAGGCATTTGTTACCATAAAACAATACTATTTAAACTCTTTAGTATTGGTATAACTCTAAAGAAATGTCTGGAGAGTCAAGACAACTTTATTTTAAGAAATAATTTGCAAGTAAAGGGAGAAACAAAGTGGTTCTATAATTCTAAAAACGTTTCTTGCTTTGAACAATTTGACGGAAGTTTCCGCCCATCCGAAGAGTATCTGTATAAATTTACCCCGAAAAACCGCGAGGGACCCAGACTGATGATCATTGCATAATAATCCATTGTAGGATACCAGAGACCAGAGACAGGGGCACGTTTTCGCTTGGCTGATGGCTTTTTGAAGCCGATGACATCATGGCATCGTTATGGCTTGGATTTGAACTTTGGCAATATTTTAGCGTAGATGGTGATGATTAGTTAGATGTGTGTATTTCGAAAGGGATCGCTGGCAGTTGACGCATCGCATCGCCAGTCGGCAAACAGACACTCCACTCCATTACGTAAGCACGGCTTCAAAAATCAATCCATCGAATGGCCAGATCTGGTGATTATTCACTACCAGGCCGTTTCGATTTCGCTTTCTTTCGCGATGTGTCATGATCCATGACAATTGCTGACCGATATCTTTTTGGGTGGATAAATAAATGGAAAAACGACAAAAATGCCACAGCAAAAACATAAACAAAATCCGCAAAAATGTAACGAGGTCAATTATATGATTTTGAGTCTGGTTTACGACCAGGTTGAGTTCAGTTGAGTGAGTTGTAGGCCCAAGTCCGAGTGCCTTTATTTGGGAGGGGGTGTCGCAAAACAAAGAGAACCCCATTTTTACTTGTCGAGGTGTTTTCGGTACTGGGAGTAGTTTCACCGGAAATCCAAAACAACATTTGATTTATGATAAAAATCGCTTTCGACCGACCTCCTCCCGCGACTGTTTATGGCTTATCTAAAAATGACGGTGACTGACTGACGGCCAACAAGTGTTTTGGGGGTTCGACAACGGGGGTTCCAGAGGGTTTACCTATCCCCATCTAGGAGGTAGCTCATGTGGGCCAAGTGTTCCATTTACGTGTCGCCCGCACTGATAGAGTTACCTTTATAGATACATATAGTAGATATAGGGAGTTGGACACGTTGCGTGCTGCGGATGTACAAATGTACACAGTCTTTCGTATATTCACTGCTAATTGAGTGTGGATTCTTGGCTCCAAAAGCGGCCAGGTGATTAGTACGTGGCCAATGTTCCAATGGCTGAGATACAGCTGCGAACATGGAGGGAATGGGACAAGAAAGTAATTACAGACAGACTTTCCTAAGTCGAATATTCTTTACCATATAACATATTTCTTGAAACATTTTTCCAAAACATTTACCTGAACACATTGACTTTGTTATCCAATTTCCTTGAATCCTTTTGTTTACAAATTGGTAAACAATTTGAGGTAATTTGAAACCCTTACATTTTCTACCCATAACTATACTTGACAGCTGGTGGTATGAGTTTGAGGAAAAGTGGTTCCGTAATTAAGGTGGTACGATCCGATGGAAGGGTTGACAAACTAAAGGGGCAACGTATCCCTCTTCCGAAATTTGAGATCCATGCTCATTTGTCGGTGAGGTGAGTGCCATAAAAGTCGGAAAAAGCACACACGCGAATGTAGAGAACCCAAGAGGCAAACAAAAATGTTGTTTTCTTACGTTTTTACCTCACTTTTGTTTTGCTGTTTGCTTATGCCACATACTCATTTTTAAGTGCCTATGTGTATAGAAAAGGTGCTGCTATCGCTTCTTCCTTCTGTCACCCGTAAACTTAAAAGACCCCGAACCACGTACACCCAGTAGAATTGAGTGATTCTCTGCGGCCGAAACCGGCAACTCATTCAAACGAAAAAGTGCTCAAAACTAACGACGACTTATAGTTGGATGATTCGGGGAGGAGTCGAGGAGGACGTAGGAGAGGCAGCTGGAGGGATGACATCATCGCCTTCAGCTCCTGGGGAGCCATTTGATCGCGGTTTGAAGTCGCGCCAGCAGCTGCGCTTTCAGGCATCGCGAAAACTGAAATAACACTCGCCTCTCTTTCTCTTTCGGTATACTATACCCTATCCCAAGGTTCTTCCTATCCCTATTCCCAACGAACCTATAGCTAAGGTGGAAATCCAAGTTTTTTCCCTCATGCTCTAGCTTTAAATAGTGTGGTATAATAGCAAGTTTACAAATAATGACCTTTATAACAGTTCCTAAAGGGCATAATTATTTTGGAAGTAGTTGTTTTAACAATAATATTAAACTTTTTTAAATTAACAAAGAATATTAAAACATTAACCAACCCAAAACTTAAAAACATTATTAATAACTTTACCTAGTATCCGGTTTATTTATAATTTAAATAACTTGCAAACAATATGAATTTAGCTTTCAGATAAGAAATTTAACCGGATACTACATTTTTAACCACAAGTGTGCTTTAAAAATGTGCTTGTGTAGATAATACCGATAAACAAGGTCTTTTAGTAAGTGGTTGACTCAAGAAAATGAAATCCGGGTAGCAAACTTTCAGATAAGCGAGCAAAAGAAAAACAAAATATTTCAGCATGGTAAATTATACGGAAAAACCCTCAAGGGTATAAAAAACTTCGGCTAAATGGTAATCCCATTTTTATTTGGTTTTTTGTTTGGGGCATGTTGTAACTGTAGTTGTTTTGCTGTTGATTTCGTTGGACTGCACTTAATCCCCTTTGCCGGCGACATATACAATTTCACTCTGGCTTGTCCAGGGGCGGCTTGAATTGCGTAACCCCGACTCGGCGAGGGCTAAATTGTCGAAGGGTACGAGCAGTACTACAAGTACCCCCCACAAAAACCCGATGCATTTGTATGAGTGCATTTAATGCAAAGTGCTGCTAATGGACGGAACTAATGTTGTCAATTTACAAGGGGGAAGCTAGAATACTTCAATGTAGTTGAGATCATCCAAAAACGGGATATCTTCGGAATTACAGTGGAAACTCTATAGCTAGTACTCTGAAAGATCGTCTTATACGTCCAATATTAAGCCCCTTTCAGTATTATTACTTACAGCAATAAATTAACATTTACATTTACTGTCTTCCTATTGTTCCGAAAGTCATAAATATGATATTATTCACTAAAACTTGAAACTTCCAGAGCTCCCATATTTTCGACACCTAGTAGTTCGAGCTTTAAACTGAATCACCCGCACTGACAATGCCTTAAAATCACCTAAGTCATCTTCAAGCTTTCCAATTACGCATGCATCACCCATACATCTATCCGAATATACATACTTGTTCGACTTATCAACGAAATGAGGTCATTCCTTGTTAGAGGCTGGCGATTTCAAGACCATTTTTAGCTAAATTTTGGCATTTGGCGCGAGCAGATAAAAACCTGGCGTCGTATCGTAGCGCCAAATAAAGTCAATGCTGGCTCCAAACTTCACAAACTCACTCGCACACCCATGCAAAATGGTTTTTTTGGCCAATTTGTATACTGTGTTGTTTTGTTTGGGGCTTATTTTTGGGAGGTGGGGTTACTTTGTTGTACTTACTTTGCGCTGGGCCTCGGCGGCGAAACCAGACTTTGCTGCACGGTTGGAAGCCATGGTTATTTGGTGGAGAAACGGGTTTGCAGGGAGCTAAAATGTAGGTTGGTCTTGGGCCTGAAGTGCACCACTGTCCACTGGAATGTTTGCCGCGGAATAAAATAAAACGGAGGAGCGCAAAGGTTTTATACGTCCGTTCGCAACGAGAGCTTACTGCGTTTTGAAAGGCGTCCGGAAATTTCAGCTCTATATATAACCTCTGAAACATTTCTGTACCTATTCGAGGTACACTTGGGTTGTACAAAGCTCCAGCCAGCGCTTATCAGCGTCAGCTGATTTGTTGTGGTGGTATTGATGATGTCATACAGCTTTTTTTAACGGCAGTTGTTTTTAAAAATAAAATGTGAAACTGAAAACTATTTATCACTGGAAAAAATACCCCACTACGATTTTACAAGATACATTGAAATCTTTTATGTAGTAAACTTTTCTCATATAATGAACAGTATTACAAATTAATAGATTTTGTTGACGTTTTCCTTTTGGAATTTACCAGACCAGCAGTTCTATAACATTTTTTATAGATTGCAATAATATTTTGTTATGTTCTATAATATTTTAGTAAGACCAAAAATTAAATTTTTTTTTTTTTTTTTCTTTTGAGACCCCAAATATTTCAAAAATATTTTTGTAAAGTGTACTAACTAAACGATAAGACAAAGTTCCGCTGGACTAGAATTCCATTCGTTACTCCCCTTGTTCCGCCTTATCGATAGGGTACTGCAGCATTCCATTTAGGTGACCATGACACTTTGAGGGACTCTCTGGATGCCAACAAGTTAGGAAACTGCTCGTTGAACTTTGCCTTGAGAATTAGTTACAGTTTATTCACATAAATATATATTTCGTTTAATCGTATAAATTATGCAATTGTGGTTTTACGATAAGAAGCGAATTTCTTTAGTGTTTCAGTGTGGTTTCTAAATAAATAGGGGGAATTGCTTGTATAATTTGTTGTTCTGTTTGTCGTGTTCGTTCTTTTGTGTGGGTGTGTGATATTTAATATTAAAAATACATAATTCAGCTTGATCATCAAAGGTTTGTTAAGTTGGTAGCATACACATTTGATTTGATGTGGGCTTGTCTTTTGTTTTGATTATATCGCCATTAGGTTTATAACATAGGAAAGCAGTAATTAACTAGAAGTTAGGGCTTATTAGTTGCATACACATATTGCCATTATAATATATTAATCTATTAACGGTTTCCGCATGCGAAACGCTCGAAAATGAACTCTCTCCGATTCTGCCTACAATCGTTCTATAATCGATCAGCATCGATCATGCATCCTACTAACTTTTAAGGCCCTTTCGTTCAGATACAAGTGGGTGTGTGAGTTTCGTAGACTATGGGGGATGGTTTTACATATAGATGTATGTATAAATCGATTTATTTTTTTACAATCTGTTTTGTTATGCATGCTTCGAGGGGGACGACGACTCTTTAAAAAATAATCATCATAATTTATTTTTGCACATGGATAAATACAAATTACAAGTATAAATGTGTATATATATAAAAAATGTTTTACCAAAAAATATATACGTAGACGCAAAAAAGACGCAATAATATACAGAGAACTTTACTATAATAAAAGGGTGACATAAGCATAATCAGATTTGGGACTCCTACTACAAATAGTACAATATGGTACTGCCGTTTCCACTAGACCTAGGCATGTGTATATCAAGCACTGACATCTGTGATTACAGTGGGTGTATATATCCGCGTGTAATTGTTATTATTGTTTACAGGCTACCTATATCTGCTCGACTAACTGCAAACAGTATCAGCAAATAATTTCAATTGAATTTCTGTTCCTTTTTTTCTATTTTTTTTTTTCTCGTTTGTTTCGTTTTTGTTTTTAATAAATAATACCTCACGGATTCGTTGGCTCAACGTAGTAAACTTAACTTACAGAACAACTGTGCAAAGTTGGGCAAAAAATAAAGAAGGGAGCGGATGCCCTCCCAGCAGTGAGGCGCTGTAAATGTGGATGGGGTTAATGGTATGTGGATACCGCGTCTTCGTCTTCGTTTATTGCTCGCTCGGGGCCCGACACACACACAATTTGATCTGGGTGCCCCTTAGAATCTCGCGTTTTCTTTTTGTTTAAACTAGGGGTTTGTCTACTAATTTTATATAATTTTCAATTATATACGCTGCTTCGGCGATTCTCCTGCTCTCTGGCTCAAGTTATACTCAATGTAAGCATGCACTTTCAACTTTTGAAGCGAGTTTTTAATTAAATTAGATCGAAACGCATCGAATCGAATCGAGAATTGCATCAAATGTTCATTTTCTTTAGCTTAGTTGTAGTGCTTCACAAACAGATTTCTTTGATATTGAATTGCTTCGCAAACGATCCCCAAACTCTGGGGACGATCTTCTTCAATCTATCTCTTTTTAGGGTTTGTCTTAGTTCTTAACTAATTTTAACTTGCAGCTGCTACTCCTTTCCGTTCCTCGCTTGGAATCGGTCTCATCTTAACCCCCCGCTCTGATTCTGATTCAGATCTATCTATATAATGTGTACGTTTAAATATATAGGTTTTTATAAGCTTTTACGTTTTCCTGTTTTTAGTAACCATAATTTGTCGCACTGTCCACTCGCATTCCTATATAGATCTCATCCTATAAATAAATACTCCAACTCCACACACATTTAGCTATATCAAGATTTAGGTTTAGAAAACAATCAGGTTTGGTTTCCTCATCCAATTCACAGCAGCGATATATCTGGGGTGGACAAATCAAGGAAGATTAGTGGAGTTTTTGGAGGGGTGAGAACTGTAATGGTACCTTTATTCTCGTGACTATCAGCAGTGACTAGCGTGGTGGTTGCCGCTGTGCTCGTCAGCAAGCTGTTATTGTTGTTTAGGTGTAGATCTTGTGACTCGATGCTCAGGTCAATCAGTTGACTGGCAACCGGAGCAACTGCGTCCTGCAGCAGATTGATGTCACTAAAATGTAAGGGCATATTTAGAATAATATAAAACGAAGCCAGTTCATTCCACTCACTTCTTGTTGTTGACATTCTCGATGTGACCATTGCCATTGGCCACCGCCGGGACAGTGTTGGTGCCCTCGAAGTCCACCAGCAACTTGCCGTTGCTCACCTGCTGCAGGTTCTTGGCATTCTCATCGATGATCATTGTGGAGAAGCTGTTGATGAGCGAGTTCTCCTTATCTAGCACCGATTGCTCGTACATCGCCTGGCTGTTTGGTGGCTCCTGGACAGTTTCCGTGGCCACGGGCGCGGGCGCTGGTGTGGAATCTGCTGCGCTGGGTGAGCCCTCAGCCGAGTTGTTGCTGCTGCCAGTGACGCTGCTGTTGCTGCTGCTGTTGTTCTCTGGAGCAGGCGCAGCAGGAGCTGCTTTATCGTTAGCGTCCTGAAAAAAAGAAGATTGGTTAGTTGAGTGCTGTCATTGAATGAATCATTACAGGGACTTAAAAATAAATCGAAATTGTTCTACATGACTCTCAAAAGGTGTTTCAAGAAACTGTTGTCATTATAACATAACATAAATGAAAAATAAAAGATTATTTAATTCTTCTTACTTATGACAAACTTGTGGTTGAAAAAGCGATTTGAGAATTAATATGTGAGTACATTAAGTTATTTTTAGACGATAAACTTTGCTTGATAAAGTAAGTGGTTATCCAGTGTATTTTTTACATTCGACTATAAAGATCCCTACCTTGGAGGGTGTGGTGGCGGCACCTCCCTTGCGAGTGCGCAACATGATGGCCTCCACCCGCTTGCGGCGCTCCTCGCGCTCCTTCTCCTCCCTCTTGAGCCGCTCGGCCACCTCGACGCGCTGCTTCTCCGCCTCCTCCTTGGCCTTTTTCTCGGCCTCCTCGCGCTCCACGCGCTGTTTCTCCTCATCCTCACGCTTGCGTCTCTCCTCCTCCTCCCGCTGCTGGGCTTCCTGTGAGCAAAAGTGAGCAATAAATTAGATTCCTTTGTGTTCTTTGTTCTCTTTGGGTGTAAACCTCTTACCTCGATAGCCTTGCGCAGGCGCTCCTCCTCGCCGCGGCGCTGCTCCTCGGCCAGTCGAGTGGACTCCTCCTCGAAGAGGCGCTGCCGCTCGGCCTCCTCCTCTTGGGCCTTAATCTCTGCCAGGCGTTCAGCCTCCAGTCGTTGGCGCTCTAATTCCGCCTGTCGTTCGGCCTCCTCGCGGGCCAGGCGTCGTCTCTCGGCCAATGCGGCCTTGGCCTCCTCCTCGGTCGTGATCTTCTTGGCCATCATCGATGCGGTCATCAGATCTGCACCCTCCGGCGGAGTCAGCTCTCGCACCTCAGAGTTCTCCTTGCTGCGCGACGGTTTCTTGGGCACAGCCTGCTCCTGGGTCTTAGGCGCCTCCTTTTCAGTTCCCTCGTCAGATTTTTCCTCTACATTAACCGAGGTAACCAAGGTCTCGGGCACAGGTTCCACCAACAAAGTTGCTTCCTCCTCCTGGCGAGCCACTTCTTCCGTTTTCTCAGAGTTCAGGGCCTCCTTCTCAGCCTTGCTCACTGGTGGAACAGCAACAGGAGCCTCGGTAGGAACTGCAGCCACTGCAGGAACTGGCACCTCTGCGGGCGTCTTTTCAGCCTCCTTGGCCACGCCGTTTTGCTCGGGAGCCGGGGCGGCGACGGGAGCTGGTGCTGCCGGAGCAGGAGCCACTTTTGTGATGGTTGTGGTACTGCTGCTGCTGACGATCATTGACCTGGACATCGCAGAGGTATCCTTGGTTTTCGGCTCCTTGCTGAGCCGACTGATGCGCTCCGAACTGGCCGTGCGACTTGGCAGCGCCTTGGAAGCGGATGCCGCCTTGGGTACCGGAGGTTCCTGTGGGTTTATAATATATTTAATATCTTTTTTAGGTAATCTATGGACTAGTATGTTACCCTTTTTGAGGGAGTCTTTTTCTCGGCACTGCTCAGCCGCGATGAGCTGGAGGTCACGATCAGGGAGGTGGACATCAGGTTTGCAGTTCGTTTGGGTGTCGTTTGTGCGGATGGCGAGGCGGCTGCTGCCTTTAAGGGCGGCTTTTGATCCCTCTTGAGTTTGTTGATCTCTGCGCGGTTAAAAAAGTTGTATTCCTATTCCAAAATGGGACATTAAAGTAGACTTACCATCGAGGGACATGCCCGTTCCGGCGATGCTGGCGGGCCTGGGTTTCCGGGGTGCCGTTGCCGGTCGCCTGGGCACCATCCCGGATGTGGACATGTTTGTCGATGTGGACATGGCGCTGCCGGGCCTTGAGCTATTGAAGTGTCCGCCGGGCGTGGCATTTCCCGATCGCGAGCCTAGAGAATCCAAATACGATTAGAACAATTACGGGATGAGCGGTTTCAGGGGATAAGAGGGTGTCAATATGGATGAGCTTATGTGGAGCACCAAATAAAGCGTACGTGAGTAGTGACCGTCACCAGAGTTTACCAATGTTGCAGGGGGAAACACAGGGAAAACACAAAACCAAATGAGGGGACACAAGTTAACCAAGGTACCAACAGACAAGGAAGATTCCAATTCTTACACATAGAGAGCGAACAAATTGAGGATACACAAAATAAAACCAAGGACCAAAGAACATATACCTATTACCAGGATGAGATAAGCCCAGTATTGACTGAGCCCATAAATACTTAGTATTATGTGTGTTTTTATGTTATGCAATGGCTAAAACGTAGAATAAATGATAACCAAAATGATAATAATAATAATAACAATATATGTATGTTTCGCTTCACCATGTGATAAAAACCGATATAAATAAGTGTAACTATGGATACATACGAACGAAACGACCGACAGACGGCGACAGGCAGCAACAATATGGACCACGAATACCCGAATAAGGATCTATTATGATAATGTGATGATGATAGTTGCAAATGAATGAGAATTTTGACAACTACAGTGCGATATATCGAAGGTAATATAGGATTCCGTTTAAACGGAAATCAAATCATGAATTTTTCAGTTTTTAGGTAATGGGATTTTGGAATATCATTAATAAACACTGACGGTTTATAGGAATATGGTAAAAACACGGACTTGCGGAAGGAATTTACTGAATTTGAAATGTACTAAGGTTTTCAAAACCGAATGAGATGAACATTGGATCACAAAATTGCTGCTCAAATGAACTAAGGACAACCTCGATCGGTCGTTCTTCGTATGTCCTCTAAGGATCGATCTACTGGGAAACCCAAGCCTATGCGAGTGTACGGGTGTAAGTTTCTTGTTGTGTGGTTTTTGCGGAGTGTGGTGAAAGTTGAAGTTAGCCAATTGTGTGCGCGAATTGTTGTTCTTGTGGTTTGTAGTGGTGGCTATCGGTAAGTACTCGAGGAAATGGGTAGATGGCTACAACGCTATACGCAATCTGCAGAGGATTTGGATTTTAGCTTTTAGTGTGTGGTGTGTGGTAGTGCTAGTGTGTTTTTGGATTGGTGGTTTTTGGTTGGCAGTTCGAGATGTTTGATTTCGATTTGGTTGTTTTTTTTTTTTAGTTTTGTTTTGTTTAATCGCACACACCTGCATTCACTAACAAACTAGCAGAGTTCATGAGCAACAATGAGTTGGGATCGAGATCGAGAAAACGGTGGGGGTTAGTAGAGATCGCATATTGCTGCTGCTGGCCACGCCCAGTCGCGTTCGCGCGGAAGGATGCAGAGTTGAAGGATGAGGCTGAGGCAAATGATGACTGGAGGTATTTCTTAGTTGCCGCAGTTTGCAGGCCGAGTGTGGACTGGCGCAGGTGGTGCAGGTGGTTGGGTGTTGGTTGCTGTGGTGCTGTGCTGCCATAAACCGACCAACTGCTAATCTGTGTCATGCTCTTACTGGTGGTGTCCCGCTGCCCTCCGGCTCCGCTGGCCAGCGGCCGGAAGCTGGTCGAGATGCCGCCGCCCAGCGAGTACTTTCCGCGCTCCCGCTGGCCACTACCTCCTCCGGCCAGGTGGGTCATGCTGCGGGACATGATGCCGGCGGCACTGGAGCTTCCGCTGCCGGCGCTACCCGCTCTCCGGGCTCGGGCACTGGCCGCCGCACCGCGTCGCCCCCCTCCTCCGCCCAGCGAGGCGGTCTCGTCCAGCATTTCCAGCTCACGTTCGCGCCTCTCGCGCTCCAGAATGGCCCGCATGTGCTCCCCGTTCCGGCGAATCGGCTGCGCCAGCTGGTCCAAGCGGTTCATCGAGTAGGCCCGTCCTGCGGTTCAGTTGAAAGTGGTTGTAATTGGTTTCGTGAATCTTTTCGAGCCTGGCTCTGGCTGCGGATCCTTAGAGAGCTATGCTTATCTACTCACGGTTGCGTTCGAAATAATATTGGAAGGGCTTTGAAAAATGTAAGGAAAAGGACCTAAATCTATTCCGAAGATATTATCAATTAAAATTTTTTACGTTCTTTAAAAATCTTTAAGTCTTGCAACAGAAAAAGTATTGACAAGAACTGTTAAAACTGGATAACTGAAGGAAGATATTATGTTTTTTTATTGATCAGTGATTCTATCTTAAGAACGACTACGTATAAAAATCTCAGGATAAACAAAAGGCTTAGTTTTCCTGAAAATATATACCTTGTATATTAAGTTATAGTAGTATATTAATAAATTCAAAACCCCATTAGCAATACTATTTCAAACGCAACTGCAGTTACAAAAAGACGTCACAAAGAGATGTGTATAAACTTGGCTACAAAATGGTTTTTACAAGTGGGTGTGTTTTAAAAAAGAATGTGTGTTCAGGGTGGTTGGTGTGTTTTGTACAGTGTGTTTCTGTGCGTGGAAGAAAGTTCTGGTGTTCTGAGGTGTTTCAGGTGGCTGAAAAGGAAAGTGCGTTCCTTTTTTTTCTTTTTCTCACTTTCTCTCTGCCCAAGCAGCAAAGAACCCGGGAATCGACAGAAATATAAAGTCAGGGGCTGGAGGGGCAACTCTTGGTCCGGAATGGGCTAAACCAAAAGAAAACACAACTAATTGGATGGAAGGATGTCGAATGAAGAGCTGATGATGCGTAGCTGGACGATGAAGCTGATCGCTGGATGAGCATGATTCAGATTGCTATTGGAGTGTGTGCTGGATGTCTGGGGATGGGGTATCGGATGGGTGGGTCTTACCTGGGGTTCTGGCCGGCGTGGTGCTCAGGGAGCCTCGCGAACCATAATGCCCGTCTCGGGGGCTGGGTATTGTCGGCATGAGGTCCGTTTTCCTGCGGTAAACGCTTCGGAACACCATGGGCGATGAATCAACGCTATCCTCTGCAATATTCGGTTTTGGGTTGTTGGTTTTTGTTTTGTACATGGTTTTGGATTTTGATAATGGATTTTTAGATGCAACTGCCGAAATGATTCACTTGCGATTTCGGTCTCAAAATAATAAAAAAAAATATAACTTAATTACTAGGAACGATAGAAACCAAAAGCGAAAATAGCTAAAAATGGGAAAGTTTTTACACTGGGATTTCCCTGAGGTTATATTTTATGAAATTATGCTAACATATTGGTTTTTATAATATATTTCTTGTAGTTATAAAGGTTTAAAGATTTCTTTACTGCTTAAAACCCCGTAAGATATTAATAAATTCTTTACATAGACAATTTGTAATCTAAGACCAGTGTAAAAGCTTTCGGTACAAAAGAACCATGCTGTTGGGGAACTACGTTAAATTCCTTATAGACGGCCGATGCTGCTTTAGAGGGCGCTTGGTATCTGTACAATCTTTGAGGGCGTAAAAAACATCATGCAAAACTGATCGGCGCAAGACATGCCATTTGTTTTGGGTTAGGGGTAGAGACAACGAGTTAAGAGCTTACGGCGGGGGTTACAATTACGATTACTGGGTTAGGGTTGCTTTTAGGGTTACGGCAAAACAAAAATCGGGGTCAGAACGAGAATTGGGGTTAAGAACGAGGAGGAGCTGAGAAGAGTAGAAGAACCCTCACCCTTACGATACGAGTTATGGTTGTTAAAGTTGTTGTGGCCTGCAGTTGTGGTGCTTGTTGCTGTGGTTGTTGTGAGATTTGTAGGTCTGTGCGCGTTGGCTGTTTGTTTGGAAGTGGGCGGCGTATTGGGATTGACCGGCCCATCGATATTTATCTCGCTGCCGGCGATGGAGAGCGAGAACCGCTTGGGCGGCTCGTCATTGGAATAGCCCCAATTGAACACCTCGTACATGGAGGAAGACTTGCGTCGGTGATCTGTGTGAAGTCGGTGGTTTTTTCGATTTGTTTTCAGAGAGATAGAGAAGTGAACGTTACAGAGGTGTGATTGCTGTTTGCTTTTGGGTGCAAATCATATTGGAAAACAAATAATAAAAAAAAAAAAATAGGAAACAAAAGTGATCGTGCCGTGTGAGAAGTCTGTGGGTGCTAGGGGTTTGTATCTTCTATATAATAAAAGTAATTCACATGTACACCATCTGGGCACAGTGACATGGTAGAGGGTTATACAAAATCTCTAGTTTGCGGGGCACATGTAAACAATAACTGGGACTTGTCAATTACAAGAATTACGAGTGTCTAAGGTAACGATAACGATAACTGCAAAGTAAAATTTAATCTCATTATGTGTGTCTGGTGTCTCAGCGAGTGTGTAGTGTTCAAGAGTGTGTATATTTCTGTTTCGGGGGTGACTGAGGTGCCGCCGGTGGCATCGGGACTCACCATCTTGACGGTCCGTCGATGAGGAGGCACGCTTCTTAGCACCACTGTCGGCAAGTTCACGCTCTGAACTTCGACGTGTGAGCGAGGCGCCCGCTACGTTCGATATAGATGTGGATCTGGAGGGAAAACAGTAATATTAGTAGGTACTCAAAACTGGGGTAAAAACTTTTAAAGTATAAAATATGCCTACATATAATATAAATAGTGTTTAGTCATGGTGAAATTGTATTATCGTATTTGATAAGAAAACAAAAATCTATTGACTGTTAGCTACCATTTGGAGGTGAATGAACAGCTAATCGATCAATTGCTTCATAGTTTTTTTTTTACATATATTAAGTAGATATTAATATAATAAATTAAATTAGTTTCAAGTTCAAAGCTATTGACTTTCTTTGGTAAACAATGTCGTCATTAAAAGATCAAGAAGTGATAACGAAAATTAAATAATGAAAAGTCTAGGCCATAATTTAGCATGTCTATCAAAGTACAGCGATAATTAGTCATGTGCAACACAAAGGCCAGAAAAACTCGGCCAAAATACTAGTTCAGTCAGCATTGAATGGCCAAAAGCAAGTGTGTGTGTTTTGTGCGAGCTTTTTGCGTTGTGCTGAGATAACTTTCATTCGGATCTCACCTCCGCTGACCCCAAAAGGCACTGGGCGATACCAGGCCATAATCCGCGGGCACATCCAGCAGGCGGGGAGTCGAGGAACCAAAAGCGAAGCCGATGGAGTTTCTGTCCCGCTTTTTGACTTCTATCCGGGATTCGCGTTCCTAGTGGGGATTAAATATCGATTTATATTTAATTTTTTAGGGATGTGTTGAGCCACCCACCTGATTCTTTTTGAGGATATACTCGCGGCGTTCCTTCTCTGCCTCAAAGATGGCCCTCTTGCGCTCCTCTACCTGGTGGCGCTTCTCTGTGTCCCGGACGCGGATCTCCTCGATGCGTCGCCGCCGCTCCTCCTCCTTTTGTTCGCGATACCGCTGGGCGGCCTCCGCCTGGGCGCGCAGCTCCTCGATCTTCCGGTGGCGCTCCTCGTTTTGTCGATCGCGGGCATATTTCAGCTTCTCCTCGCGGTCTTTGGACGCTAAAAGCGTAACAAATTAATAGAGATTCGGATTCGCACATATAAGGGAATAAATCGAATTTTGGATAAACAAGTTACGGTTCGCAGGCAAATAAAAGTGGGGAATATTTTCAACAGTTGCTACCTGTGGCCGAAAAAGAAATCAATAAATATCTGCTTAATATATGTAGGTACCCTCTATTTCTCGACTTTTGCCGGCGAGTTATTTACATGAGCCGAGAGCTGACGTCATCGACGATGTACACTCGCATTTTTTGTGGGTCAATTGACAAACTAGCAGCAGCAACAAATACATGGAAAATAATACCGCCGCCCCCGACCGAAAAATTTGCCTATGTGCAAAATAGGCGAACAATATAATAGAAACAAAAAAAGAAAGCAAATAACTATGCAAGCGCACATTTTGTTCTATTGAAATGACATTGGGGCCGGAAAAATGCGAAAAACAAACAATAATAATAATATTATTATTAACATGCGGCTGGGCTGCGAAAGTCTGCATAATCGAACTGGGAAACGGTTCTTATCGCGTTATCGGTTAAGATATTTTTGGAATTCCATGACGTAAGTGAGACGACAAAGGAACAACTGCAAGTCAATCTTGTCGCTCGTTGCAGGTGCGAAAATTTCCTGGCAAATGAAATATTATCATCGGCCAAGGTCGCAGGCAAATTTTTGTGGATTTTATTAACCCCCTGGGCGTTGCATTTACACATGTTTTGGAAAGCCATAAGTTTTGCAATTGATTTTTCGCTAGAGAAAATCAATTTTGCAATTACTTCTTGCCGTCTTTCTCTCTTATTTAGTAAAAATGAATATAAATTGTATAATAACTTGGTTTTAAGTAATTTAATATGTAGTCGTATTTATATTCAGATTTAAAGATTTCGCATTGTTTGTTCGAAATAGCAAATGCTTGCTAATTAATGCATAGAATTCTTAAATGAGTTTTGCATTTGTTAAGAGAAACTAAACTAAGTATAACAAAATGCAAATAAGGCGTGAGTTTGATTTTTACTGAATTCCTTAAGTTGGAAAAAGTTGAAGCATCTCATATCTCTCGTCACCAAAACCCCTTTGAGGAGCAATATTTGTCATTACATGAAATATTCATAAATACTCATTAATTTATTAATATTTCTTGTTAACTCAAAATTTTTTTTAAATATGCGAGTAAGATATGACTTTTTTTTATAAGAAAAAGCAATTCCCTATTGACATCTTAAATTGATAGAAATAGATAGTTTATTGTTTTTATCAAATTACAATTCAATCGGTTTGGAAATTTTGATTAATGGGAATAATTTAATATTAGTATGGAGTTTAAGAGGTCAAACGAGCGCAACACTTAATAATTAAAATCAATGTATAAATTTAATTTAAAAGGAATCTCGTCACTTTAAAAAAGAAGAGCAGATAAGAAGACATTCCAATCAGGAAAACAGTGGTTCTCAAAGATTTCCAGACTTGTAATAGACTGGTGACAGAGGTATTCCGGGGGTTAAAATCGCGATAAGGAGGACTATGGGTCTTATTTGTTAGTGAGATCATGCGGCAAGCATTTAGAGCATTCGTATTTGTGGGCGGAGCGGTACGGGGCGTGGCTGTGACTCTTCAAATGAGCCGTAATGGAATGCCAACTACCTTGAGAGTCGTCTTCGCTGGCGGAGAATTGCCCGCCCACCTGGGCGAACCAATGCAAGGTTGCGCCGGCGCTGCAGCCCGTGATCTTGGCAGGTGCGAGTGCGTGGGCTGGAGTTGAGTTTTGTGAGGTTTTTGAGATTTTTTAAAGCGCTTTAATATATACATATTGGTGCAGAAGATATAGAGGTGCCCATTTTATGTAACCCGCGAGATAATCCCCCTAGAAGGCTTACCTTTTCGCTCGGCGCTGCCCTCGCGACTTTCGGTTCGCTTGGATGTGTTTTCCACTGCAAAAAGAAGTACGGAAAAATGGGTCTGATGAGTACGGGATTTTCCGGAGTTTTACACGGACGTTTTTCGTTTTCGTGTGGGGAAAATCAATTGCCGTTCCGTTTTGGCAAAAGGAAAGGTGGAAAAACGAAGGCGAAAGAGCGGAGGAGGGAGGGAACACAAAAACACACGCACACACAAACACAGGGGCAGCAGCTGCGATGACGAAGCGAGAGACAGAGGAAAATACGGGAAAATAATGTATGTCTCCCTCTCTCTTTCTCGTTCTCGTTCGTCTTCAGGACTGGAACTTATTTATAAACTCAAAACTCCGGATCCGAATCGGGGGAACTCGAAATATCCACCCATTTTGAGGGGGAGACACTTCTGGCTTCTTGGCTTTTCCCTTCCTCTCTTGCTTTTTTCTCTTTTTTCACTCCGTTTTTGCTTTTTGGCCGTGGTGTGAGTGCCGTTTTGCTGCGCAGTCGACCAGCACTTTTTGGCCATTGAAAACGCCCCGGAATCGCGTAAATCCTGGCCGTTTTTGGATCGCCGCCCACGCGGAGGGCTTTGTCCTTCGATTTCGCACTGCACAAAGGCTGTTTTCAATGCGTACCTTCTGGATTATTCGAAATATTTTCGTGTTGGACCCCAAGACTCGCCATATTCACTTCGCTCTTTTTTTTAGCGCTGCAAACAATGTGACCAGATACGGGGTGCTGCGATATACCAGGCAATGCGGCTGGTGAGAAAATACCTTTTGATTTTATCAAAATACCAGAATAGTACCAAATAAATAAATATAAATTAGAAATAAGTAAATAATCTAGTTTGCTTTAAGTGGACGTATTTGGGCAAATAATTATTTAAATAATCAAATCATATTTTAAGTTTGTTTTATACTGTAGTATTAATAAATCTGTTAGTTTCATTAGGTGCGGTATATTTTAAATATACACAGACTCAAGGTACAATTTGTATAACTTAGGTACATCTTTTTAAAATTGTGTTAGAGGAATCATTAAAATAAATCAATCTAGCCACAGAATTATTAAAAATTAAAAAAAAAATTACAAATCGAAACTCCTGAGTGTAAATTCATTCCACAAATTTATTCAGTAACTTGACCATAATCTAAGGGACCCTAAACAAAGTTTTTCATAAAAGCTAATGCTTCTCGGCGGCTATGCAGAGTTTGGCCAGCAGGGCGGTGAGCTGCAAAAGCGAGTTGATTCCATCGACGATCTTCATGTGAGTGATGCCGATCTCCCGGATAAAGTCCAGCTTTAGGTGCTCGTCGATGTTGATGCGCTTGCAGACGCGGAATATGTTTCCTATGATGTCTTCCGGGGAGTAACCGAGCTTCCACAGCTTGGCCAGGATTTTGTAGGCCTTGTGGATGTCGTTGGCGGCACAGTGATGGATCATCTCCTCCAGGAGCTTGGGATGCGGCTCATCGCAGACCTTGAACACGTTCTCGGCATTGATGTCTCCAAATCCCTGGGCGGTGGACTGAAGATTGTTCAGGCCCTGTCGCATGTCACCTTGGGCGGTGAAGACTATGGCCTCCAGGCCATCCTCCGTGTAGTTGAGCTTCTCCCACTTGGCCACCTCGATTAGCTTGGCCAGAACCTGGGCATCGGAAAGTTTGGTGAATCGCAGCATGGCACATCGCGACTGGATGGGTTCAATGATCTTCTCGCTGGTGTTGCAGGCCAAGGCGAATCTCGTGGTGCTACTATAGATCTCCATGGTGCGGCGCAAGGCTTGCTGGGCACCCTCTGTCATGCTGTCCGCCTCGTCGAGGATCACAATCTTATGCCTTCCGCGGGGCAGCGTCACCTTTTGCTGGGCAAACATCTTGATCTTATTGCGCACCACATCGATACCTCGCTCATTGGAGGCGTTTAACTCGAGGACGGCCTCCTTATAGCTATCTCCCAGGAGGATCCTCGCCAGACACTGGATGGTGGTGGTCTTGCCCACGCCAGGAGGACCCTGTACAACATATTAAGTAACTATTCAAAGGTTGTAGTCCTTAAAAACTCACCGCAATAATAATGTTCGGTGCATTTCCCTGGGTGGCGAAGACCGATAGTCTAGCAACTGTGTCCTCATTTCCCACTATTTCCTTGAACTTCGCCGGGCGGTACTTCTCAATCCAAGGCAAGTGGCTACGCTTGTCGTCCGCAATTTCTTCCGGCATTTTATGTGCAATTTTATAAATTTGCAAGACAAACAATTGTTTGGCGTGGGGCTGCAGTATGACCGTACCTTGGGCGTCAAAATACGAGTGTTTGGTATTTTGGTCTAGTACATAATCGAACTTTCCATCGATTTTTTGTAGAAGTATTTTTAGGGTTTTTTGAATATTTTTATAATTGTTTTTTTTCAAGTTTGTTTGAAAAACAGAATAAATCAAATATGTAAATGAAATATATTTTAGAAACAATTTGATATTTTTTTGTAAGCTTTATTGGGTATTGAAGGAATTACAATACATTTAGATGCATCGGGTGCCAAAAATTTGAACTTGAATTTTAATATTTTTCGAATTAGATCAAATACATACATCTCTGAAACAATTTTAAATTGTCTTAAGTTTTTGAATCGTAATGAAATTTCGGTTCAATGTTTTATTTTTAATGTTAACATTTAAGTATATTTGATGTCATTTTGCCGAATATGCATTATTACACAGGCTCATCCATAATTTGTTTTCAATTTGACTAAGTTCGGTAATACATATAATTTTTTAGTAATCCGAGGTGAATAATTTATGGTGCTGTGAAATCCGTTTCCCGTTTTCTTTCTAATGTTCACACTACAGTATAAGAGCCAGTATAGGGGCTTAATTGAAATAATACTACTCGTATTATTGACGTTAATATTTATTTATATTCGGCTAAGAATAAAATACTATATAATTTTTATATATTATGTAATGCGTATATAATTTATGTATTTGTATTTTTATGTTTATATATTGCAATATGTTATTAGTATAATAATTTCTTAAGGAATCATTTTGAACCTTCGGTAAGGAATAACAAACTATTTTTAAACACGATAAATGTGACAAAATCGTTAACAAGATTATGATCCAATAAATATTTAGTCCTCCTTGGAGAGGCTACCCAAGTCGCTGAGGAAGATCTCGGGCGACAGGACGTGCGAAGAGCCGACCAGGACCTCCCAGTTGCGAACGGCATTGGTGACCTCGTAGGCGCACCGCATCTCAGACATACTAACGCCGCCCACGATGAAGACAATCAGCCTGGGCACGTTCTTCACCTGCGCCTGGCCCTTGTCCTTGTGCCAGTGACCATAACGGGCACTGGTTGGGGCATGGTAATTGGTATTTTGGGCCCTGCCCTCGAGGAAGGGGAAGTGGCGGAGATCGAGCTTATCCTCTATGCAATCCTCCATGATGTCCTTAATCACCGGGGTCCAGCGAGACATCTGGTAGGTGCTTTCGGTGGTTCGCTCCTTGCGCGGCACCGAGTACACCTTCTTGCGCGAATCTGCAATGACATTGATGCCCAAGCAACTAAGATTACGCACCATATCCTGATCCTTCGGCGACAGCTGGGCATGCGTGAACAGTTTGGTCAGATTCTCCTCGGAAATTCCGTTCTTGATCATCACATAGAGAGCAATAATGCGAACTTTGTCGTAGTTCGAGACATTGGCGTCCAGCAAAATGGGCACAATGTTGCGCATATGATCCTTGATCTTCTCGCCCTCGGCATCCGTGCCCATGGCCAGATCCTGCTCCACACGGCACAGCTTGTCCACATAGTTCTGGTAGGATTTCATGCAGTCCTCGGCCAAATGCAAATGGGTCGAGTACTTGGACAGCTCCTTTTGATACTGCGGCATCTTCTTGATCATCTGCGAAAGATCACGCATGGACGACTTGTCGGCCGAGCCCATACGCTTCGAGTCGGTGAACTTCTTCAGGTTCTGAGTCACCTGGGTGGAGACGACAGCGATATGCTCGTGACGCAGCTCCACCCACAAGTCGTCGTTTTCGTCGAGCAGCACCTCCTTATCCGGCTGGTTGGGTCCGGGTGTATAACGATAGACATCGTTGACGATGGGTAGCAAATCGTAGGCCATGGCCTGGAGGGTCAGCTCGTGCAGCAGTGGCGACACACAGTCGAAGCCGCGATCCAGGATCAGCAGCTGGGATCGGGCCTTCTCGGGGCCCTCGCCCATGGTGGCATCGTCGGCCTTGTAGGCGTCCAGCTTCTGCTGCACCGAAGCGGCCAGATCGATGTTCCTGTCCCAGTCGCTGCGGTAGCGCACATTGGGGTACTCCCCCAGGGTGGCGCACAAAGTGGCTATCTGCTCGGCAATCCGCTCGATGTGCTTGCTCCTTATGGAGGCAAAGGCCGGGGAGTACAGGCACTGGAATGTATCCGGTGAGTCCAGCGAAAACACCTGGCATTCGTAGGGCAAAAATGCAATGTTAATCTCCTTGAGGGTCTTGATCTTCCCGGCGGCACAGGACTTGCACAGATCGTTGAACAATTCCTCGGGGCAGACCTCCGTAAAGAAGACGTGGGCATAGCGATACATGGGCCGCGCAGGGTTCTCGAAGTCTCGAATCAACCCACGCACTGACTCATCCGATGGGGTAATCAGGTAAATCGCATCCATTGTGGGCAGCGGCTCGCGCTTCTTGTTGATGTCTTCCACCAGGGTGATGCCCTCGGCGCTGATCTCGTGCATCTTGGTGCAGGCGGACACCATGCGCATACCCAGCTTGTCCACCACAAGCACCCTCCATTCCATTCCGCCCGCACCCGCAGCCGACGTAACGCCCTGCTTCTTGGGGGCTGGAGGCTTATACTTCACCACCTCATTCATCAGCTTCTGGCCCACCAGCACTTTCAAGGCCATTTTCACTGCGATTTATTGGTCACGATAATGAACACACTAGGATTGGAGATTATCTGGCTTTGCCTAACGTTTTTTTTTCGCTTGTTTTCCCGTGTCTTAACTGGGCCTAAAGAATTTTATCTATTCCTTGGCCAATTTTCTGTATTTTTTTTCTGTATTTTTCTTTGATGACTATACCGTAGTGTGACCAGGTGGCGGTGGTTCAAATATAACAATAACCAATAAATCGGTATTTTCAGCACCACTCTTAAGATTACAGGGTATCGAACTGATAACAGAAAAATTAAGCTGTTGAATATTCAACAGACAATTTCGGCAATTGAGGAACGACCCCAAATGGCTCCTGTAGAATTTTAAAAAAGTCCGTGACCCGTTTTTACATATTTCGGAATTAGAAACACTTTATATTTTATTTTACATGACAAGTTAATTTCTAAAATTATTAATAAGATGAGCAGAACTAAAAGTATACTTTCTAAATTGATTTTGAAATAAACAATGATACAAAAAGGTTACAGTTGTCTTGGCTGTTAGATGAGCTAAGGTGACAACTCTGGCAGGCTGGCAACCAATCATCGACATTATCGATAGTACCATCAATAGTTTAGTTCTATTTTACCCATCCCTAGTCGCGGAGGAAAATAAAAAATTTCGCTGGCCAACTGGTCGAAATAAACGGGGAAATGCAGATGCAAACGTACAAACTGGTGGTCGTCGGCGGCGGCGGCGTGGGAAAGTCGGCGATCACGATACAGTTCATCCAGGTGAGGCCCCGGGGGCACCCCCATGTCCAGCCAGGTGACGTCGCTTTCTACAGGGGCGGTCGGGTGACGGAGCGGGGTGGCGAAGCACAGGGGCGGGGCGGGGCGGCCCTTGTTTTGGCCAGAGCAACAAACAAGCAACAAGCGACTGCGATGTGCGTCTGTGTTTGGACATGCGTGTGCATAGTTTCGGGCAGAGATCATCATCATCATCATCGTCTTCATTGACTTAGGCCACACCCCCGTGTGTATCTCCATTTGGGGATCCAGTGGTCACAGTTTAAAGCCAGAACCCAGGGAGTTGCGATTGCCATGTAGCCCCCCCTGTTTTCTGGGTGTGCCGATCGATTCCCCGAGAGTGTGTGCCATGGTCACGACCACAATGCCCGCCCGCTTCCATTTATTTTTAGTCATTTGCGTCATCTGCACATCTTTCGTGTATATGCTGTAGCTTTTCCCCAAAGATATATAGAGCATAGTGGATGATAAAAGTGACGTGTGTAAACAAATCAAAGGCGGAATGATAAACGCACCAAGTCTTATATTATGAAATGTTTATATAGTCCATGGCCTGAGTAATATAAGTTAGTATAATATTCGTTCTTTACCTTGCAGAGCTACTTCGTCACGGACTACGATCCCACCATTGAAGACTCATACACGAAGCAGTGCAACATCGACGATGTGCCAGCCAAATTGGACAGTAAGTTATCTTACTTTACCCCCTGAAATACCCCTTTAATCTCTGCGATTCCCTAGTTTTGGACACGGCTGGCCAGGAGGAGTTCAGTGCCATGCGGGAGCAGTACATGCGCTCCGGCGAAGGGTTCCTGCTCGTCTTCGCGCTCAACGATCATTCCAGCTTCGATGAGATCCCCAAGTTCCAGCGCCAGATCCTGCGCGTCAAGGATCGCGACGAGTTCCCCATGCTGATGGTGGGCAACAAGTGCGACCTGAAGCACCAGCAGCAGGTGTCCCTGGAGGAGGCGCAGAACACCAGCCGCAGCCTGATGATCCCCTACATCGAGTGCAGTGCCAAGCTGCGGGTCAATGTGGATCAGGCTTTCCACGAATTGGTAAGGATCGTGCGGAAGTTCCAGATCGCCGAGCGTCCCTTCATCGAGCAAAGTTACAAGAAGAAGGGCAAGAGGAAGTGCTGCCTGATGTAAAAGGAGGCGTAAGGAATCTCCTGAATGCCGCAGCGGAAGCAGGAGCCAACATGTAACGAGTATAACACCAAATTTTTTGAAAAACACGCGTCGACTGAACTTTAAATTCCGTTGAGAAGACGATAAACCAGTAACCCGAAACCAGTAACCGCGCAAAACGTGTCAACGAGCCCAAACGAAGTGCATTTCTTACCTGCCCAGGTGCATGGCGCATTCAACGAACGAATCGAATAAGCTTCGCCACTTTCAAATAGCTACGAAGAAACTTACAACTGAGAACTAACAATGCCACATGCAAACAGAAAACAGAAACACGAAGAATAGTTAGATATATACAACAGATTCACACGAATAACATATATATACATACATATATATATATATATTTCTACATATATTTTTGTAATATTATTTGTTGATCAACGACAACAATTAAGGACGAATGTTTTCTATAATTATTACCAATCGTGGCTCGCAGGCCATTTGTTTTTATAATGCAATAACTAAACCCAGAACGTTTGTTTCGATTAAGCCAAAACGTAATAATGTGTTATTGTAATTTGTATTGTTATTTACTACTAATATATACGTATACATATATAAACTGCTTACAATCCGATTTTGTTGTAACAAATTGAGTGCCTCGTTCTCGCGCGTAGAAAACTAAAACATCAAACTCTGTATTTCACACACACAACATTTTTGTACTATATCCGCAGCTGCCAGGCGCACAACTCACTTAACAATATTTTTGTACATGTCCCAAGCCGGATTCTATGGTTTATTGTTCGCCAAATGTATTGCAACAGTTTGCTTAAGCCGCAATCTCGTTTAACTCTTATACACTGCTTAATTTAACGAACTTATTTAAAGGTATATAAATAAATATATAATTATATTTAATATTAAACATATGCGCAATTCTAATAAACACATGGAGAATCACAAACGCTTCCACATAGAAGAATGTTTTAATGACGGTGCCAATTGGATTGGATTTGAAGAAGCAGAAAGGAATCAATTATAGATTGAATCCTTGCAAGTACTGGGTTAATTAGCTGCCAGCTGGGTCCTTTTGGAGCTGAATTGGGTATAAAAGCAGGCTGAACCGAGGTGAAGTAGCATAGAACTCAGAATGAATCCCAAGTGCGAAGTCCTCATTGCAGCCGTGCTTTTCCTGCTGCTGGCCTGCGTCCAGGGTCAAGTGAGTAGTTCTATTGGTACTTATAACTTATCCTAATATATGATTTATGATTTCCTTCCCTATAGCTGACTTTCTCGCCGGATTGGGGCAAACGTTCGGTGGGTGGAGCTGTCCCTGGATCCTTCTTCGAGCCCCAGCAGGGCAACTGCAAGACCTCCAACGAAATGCTACTTGAGATCTTCCGCTTTGTGCAAGCCCAGGCCCAGCTCTTCCTGGACTGCAAGCACCGCGAGTAGGAGGCTGTATCTTTATCCCATCCAGATCCCCATTCGGATTCGGAACTCGGACGATGTCTAGCACGCACACACATACACTATCTATATATATACCCATATATATGTATACAGCACGTTATCAAGGTAGTCGTAGTCGGCATTTAGATTTAATGGAACTTTCCTTTCCCCACAATAAATAAGCGCATCCAAAATGTACTTCAATCGGCTATCAAAAGGGGGAATTTCGACTAGCTCCCTGAACTCAGAGGGTGCTTTACCCACCCTTCAACTTTTCAAGTTCATCCCTCAAAAAAAAAGAAAACCTGGCAATGGTAGCTGTCAATTAAATTTAAATTTAATTTTGAAAATTGCCACAATTAAATCATTTGATGACACCCACTCCATTGGCGCTTAAGTTCCGGTGTGTCAGTGGCCCACGGGTTCAGTTCGTCGGCGAAGTTCATAGGATCAGAATGTGTGCGATCTCTGGCTCCCCGAAAGCTCATAAGTTACTCATAATTTATTTGGGTCTCTCCATTTGCTTGCCCGTCAAATGTAAGTTGTGTGCATTCTTTTTGTTTAGACCCATTCGCCCATTCGGTTGTCTAAAAATACCAACCAGATCGTGCCAATAGATCTTTTTGAGTTATGTGATCGTGTCATTCCATTTAATGTGTCAACATAAACAAATCCCCCACATATCACAACATCTAACACCCAGAAAATGACTGAACAGACCTCCCCAAATGTTTACAATCGGATTCCAAGCGCCACTGGCCCAGTTATTTTAATTCCCCCGGAATTAACGATGCATCTCGGTGTGAATTTGTTGGATCTGCAATTAAGGGGTTGAATAATGCCCAGAATTAAGTTTTTAAAAATGTGCATTTCCCGGTGGCTATTAAATTCTCTGAATACAACCAAATCATTTCTTTATAGAATGAGTAATGGGTCATAAAATTATTCAAAGTTTGTATTTGTCCCGATGATATTATATTTGTTTATGTGTATTATGATGAGGTTCTTTAGTCATGAACATCCTACAAAACATATGTTTTATATCAAATGGTTTTGGAATTAATATTATTTTTTAAATACCCATTCTTAATTGAATAATGGGCATTTCAAAATTCTAATTTTCATTAAAAAAATGTTTTTAAAATTAAAAAAAAAAGTTTTTGTAAAATGTATTTTTAAAATTCACACTTACCCCTGATCCGCTCCTGAGTTTGGGCTTTTCAAACGCCTTTTTGGGTAATTGTGCCCCACTAAAATACAATTGAAATATAATCATTATGGGCCGCCATGCTCCACTTGGCGGAGCTGCAATTGGCCGAAAAAGATGAGTTCGTGGACCAGTTGCCACCTGGTGGCCGAGCAGCAAGCACGGATAAACGGATACGGTTACGGTTGCGGATTGGAGAGATGGTTCTGCTGGACGATTTCTGTGTGAAGGTGTTTTTCTGGCCATTCCTGTCCTATTTGGCCACCATCAAAGGCTGGTGTCCGCTGTATCCGCCAGGTTACTATCCCATTTATGCCATACCACCGCCGCCGCCGCAGGGACCACCATATCCTCCGCTGCCGCCGCAGCAGCTCCAGCCGATTGGTCCACTAATACCGCCTCAACCCGCTTTTCCGTCCACACCTGCAGTGATTCCGACATTCCAGCCCACGCCGCCAAATCCCCAGACGCCGGTGACTCCGCCCCTGTTCACGACCAGTAGCAGTACCACCGTTTCCACGACCTCGACTACGGGTGGGACCACCACCAGTACCGCTGGCACCACTTTGCCCGTTCCTGTGGCCACGTGTCCATCACAGCCTCTGGTCTGCCTGCCCGGTGGAGCGCGTCCGCTGCCCAATTGCCCGTGCATCGATCCTCGCCAGCAGCAGAACTCCCCGATGAACCCGCCCACAGGACCACAGACTGGTTCGGATATGATGGTTTTCATGCCGCTCAATTCCGGACGTAGGCGGCGTCGTCGCCGGAAACGTCGGATACTCTACTAAGATCACCTCCTAACCCCCCCCAAAAATCACCTAGCCCCACACCAAAGAAATACAAAACACTTGCATATACACCGCAAAATTAGTCAAAATAAAAAACGATCACAAAACCCAAAGCAAATTGAATTGGCCAACTAAATTTGATATTGGAGAATCCTCTGGCACGCCCCTCCCAATCACTTCGTTCTCTTACAGCTCAGACCTGCCAAGATGCCCGATCCCGGCCTGGAAGCTGCCTGCCCCTGACCTACTGTCCCCAGCTCATGGAGGAGTATCAGGGCCAGGGCAATGAGTTTAACACCTTTCTGGGCCAGTCCATCTGTGGCTTCGATGGCTCCACTTTCATGGTAATCCCTTAGATCTATTTCGGTTTTTACTTGTACATGGTTTATTTAACTCGAAATATCAATGACCGCTCATTTGTTTGCACTCTTTACTTAAAATAGCTTTATTTTTTGCTAATTGCAAAAATTATTTAAAATTTTTATCTCAAACTACGCATTAAATTGAGCATGAACATTGTTTGCTACACTGATAAAAAAATTAATGAGAAATTATACTCGATTTTGTTAAAAAAGGTTCATCTTTTTTAACATGAGATACGGCCCGCATCGCATTGATACATATGTTATATATAATATTGTTTTTGTATTATTCAATGTTCTGCGTAAATGTTTCAAAAAATATATATTAATTCACTTGGGACATAAAAAAAAACATTTTAAACTGGTGCCGAAAACTAAACATTTTCTTTAAAGCAAATTGAGTTATTGTCATTAACAATTGACGTAAATTTAAACTATTGCATTCAAAATCTAAAAGCTGCATTCTTCAAAAAAAGTTAGGAGATCATTTAATATGATTTTTAAAAAGTTAGGATTTGTTGTCCCATAAGGTTTGCTGCGCCTCGGATCGAACAGGAAATGCCAGAAGCAGGAAGGATTTATTTGCGACCACCGCTGCACCATTTAGCTTTTTTCATTTCTCGCCATTAAGTGGAGGATCCACTGCCACTCCTATGGTTTTCCAGCCCACTCCGCCTCTAAACCAGGGTGTCATCCCCAGCTTTAACCCACAGCCTCCTCCTCCACCACCACCTTCACCGAATGCTCCACGCTCGGTTTCCGTTTGTGGGATAAGTGGTGCCACTTCCAATAGAGTGGTGGGTGGAATGGAGGCTCGAAAAGGTAACAAGTGGTTATTTACCAGATCAAATTTTGTATATTATTATATTATTTATTTTACTACCTATTTCTTCTATAATAACTCCTCTCCAGGAGCCTATCCCTGGATAGCTGCCCTTGGCTACTTCGAGGAGTCCAATCGGAACGCTTTAAAGTTCCTTTGTGGTGGCAGTCTGATCCATTCTAATTACGTGGTCACCTCGGCACACTGCATCAATCCGATGTTGACTTTAGTGCGACTGGGAGCCCATGATCTCTCCAGGCCAGCTGAACCGGGGGCAATGGATTTCCGTATCCGTAGAACTGTGGTCCACGAGAATTTCGACCTTAATTCTATATCGAATGATATAGCTTTGATCGAACTAAACGGAGTGGGAACATTGCCAGGTAAAAAGATATCGATATATTATGAAAATATTCCAAGTTGTTCATAAAAAATTCGAATAAAATATTGGACTTATATTATCCATGACCAATTTTAAAATAACCTTATTTCCTTTAAAGCACTTTCTAAGAACCGTATACACCCTTTTCCCAAAAAATGATTGACTTGAATGATAATAATACTTTTCCATCTTAACATTATTGTATCTACAAGGTAACATATCACCCATTTGCCTGCCTGAGGCCGCCAAGTTTCTGCAACAGGACTTTGTGGGGATGAATCCCTTTGTGGCCGGCTGGGGGGCAGTGAAGCACCAGGGAGCCACCTCGCAGGTGCTGAGAGATGCCCAGGTGCCCATAGTATCTCGACAGACCTGCGAGCAGAGTTACAAGTCCGTTTTCCAGTTCGTCCAGTTTAGTGACAAGGTAAGCTGGCCATCCTGATCCAGAGGGGAATCCCCGAGAGAATATTTCAAGCCCAATAAATCCTTTGCAGGTGCTGTGTGCGGGCAGCTCGAGCGTGGATGCCTGTCAAGGGGATTCCGGTGGACCACTCATGATGCCCCAGGTCAGTTACAATCTCTTCTTCTGTGAGTCATCGAACCTGTTTTGGCCAAGTCTTGAGCTCTGTCGCCAAGGTGGTTCACTAAATACTGTACCGCTAATGGTACATGCTCATGACGCAGATATGATTTCGTTGGTCAACGAAAATGTCGGTGACTTGCAGAAAGGAATTCGGTTTTTATGATAATCATATATCTTCTACCACTTATTTTCGGAATTCTCCAGCTGGAGGCCAATGGTTATAGGTTCTACTTACTCGGCCTGGTTTCTTTTGGCTATGAGTGTGCTCGTCCTAACTTTCCGGGAGTCTATACGAGAGTCGCCTCCTACGTCCCTTGGATCAGGGAACACATCTCAACGGCTTAGAATATGACACATCCTAAATCTATTAGCTATTTTTGATGTGTCATCCAAATTGAGAGCACTTAATAAATACTTGCATTTAAATTCTAAGCCCCAAATACACTTACCCACCGGAATTTCCGCAATAAACTTCATGTTTTTATGTTCTTGTTTGATTTAAGCCTAATTGATCTTACATTAATTTGTGAATATCATTAGCATGTATTGGATTAAATTCCCCTTGTCAGGGGATTTTGTTTTAGGCTTTTTTTAACCAGGAAAATAAATCAAGTGCCCAAAATATTTGGTTCAACCATCTTATCTTTTTTTGAAAGTGATGAATGTTTTTCTAATCAAAATAAGTGTTGTTATAAAATAATTAACAATATGATATTCTTCACCTAATCGATCTTTGATTAAAATTTATTATTCGAATTACACAATAAATTTGTTTGTAAACACTTTACGATCATTTATTTCATTTGCATACGCTTCACATTATTTCTTGTGTTCTCAAATTCATTTTCAATTAATTACAAAACGTGTTTGTTTTATTAGGTATATCTATAGGTAATTATCAACTGAAATATTTTAGGGGCATTCATAAGATTACGTGATTACATCACTCAATGTATCTGAAAATAAAGAAGTCAAGTTTATTAAACACTTGCTACCAAGTATATTTCGCGGCATAAGGTATAATAAAATAGATGAAATTGTTGAGCCGGAACCGAAAAAGAGCAATTCTTTAACGACAGGGTCTGGAATTTCCCGCCATTCACTTCGGCCCCCGCTGTTTCTACCTGCACTGCATGGCCAAGTGATACGGATTAGTCATTATAGTAGATCGATCGGTGTTATTATGCCCCTGCGGTTGCATCGATCGCATGCCAATTGGCTTTCGGCAGCGTCTCAACGGAATTCTAATCAGGTTGAGTGCCCCCAGTATTGTGATGTATATAGCGAATCGGAGGAGACTTAGTGGGGTGACTTAGTGCTAACTGTGATCGCACATCAGATGCATAATCAACACAGATGACGTCACAAGTAGAATATTTCTTAAGGGATCTGTTGACAGTCGAATTCAATTACAATGTACATGTACTATATACTATAATGTTGATTGTAGTCGAAGAAATTCTGAATGTCCAAAAAAACAACAACACACAGAATATACATTTATATTAATTTATTTAATACGATAATATAATATTCTTGGTATTTTTGAGTCGTGTATTGTGGAGGGGGTCGGTGACAGTATTACGAAGTGTCGAAAATGTTTGGATAAGTGTCACAATGTGTTGGTTCTATTCATCGGGAAATCCACATCAAGTAATATGTGAACCGCCCCTAAAATATTTTATTGGATAATCATAGTATCAAAACTATGGACCCGCTAAGTTTATCGTATTTGGCAAAATTAGTCATGTAAAATAATTAACATTCGGAAGGTTCCCATGAGTGTAATGATTGTAAAAATATTGTTATACAACTCAGTAAAGGAAAATCCTAAATGCAACATTGAAAATACAAGTAATATAACATTTCCTTGCAAATTTAAAATACAAAATCTGATCGATCCCCACTGTAATTCCAATAATTACGTATTCTTTATGGGAGGCTGCTATCTATATAATCAAAAGCTTTTTACGGTACTCGCATACGAAAGCAATTACAAAGTATGAGAATAAGTTCTGATTGCTAATCATGATGCTAAAATAGAATTCGAGCTAGAATGTTGCCGGCGGCTTTGGTCAGTTCTCTAAGTGATTCCCAATTGACATGTCAACGGGATCCGTTTTAATTTACCTTGATTAATGGCATTTATCATTTTTGCTTAGAAGACCGTCTAATTGAGTCACAGAATTCTCGGGACCAGATCAATGACAAATTGAGAGCAGAGCAAGGCCAACAATTTGGCGCCTCATTTGACTCACGCCTTAATTGAAAATTCCCAATTTAGAACAATGCCAGATTGTGTCCTATATCATTACTTACCATTACCATCTGAACCATATTATCAGGCTGCAAAAAACAATAAATATTTGTTTCCATTTTCGGATTGGGTTGGGAAAATCACTTCCTAATCTGAATGTGTGAATTTGGTGCTTTTCCACCTTGATTATATGCTTAGAAAGCAAATGGCGTGCTCCATGAATTCGAATGTGAACCCCATCCGAAGTGCTCTCCAAAGTGCACCCACTTTCCCGGCGAGAGAACTTGGCGAGAGAGGTCGGTAGATTCGGTAGAGAGATCCCATGAGAACCCTGCATATAAAGCTCGGCTCTGGGGGCCGACCGCTCAGCCGAATCGAAGACGCGATCGCTTTGGTCACGCAGGCCACGAAAAGAAACACACGGCAATCTCCGAAGAAGCTTCCGCGGGTGAAGACGCGTCTCCAGTTGTCTCCGGTTGTCCGGTTCCCCAAAAGAAAATTAGTTTTATAACGTTATTCGGACAGTGAACGTCGCGTTGCCCCTCGATATCTCGTATATATGATCGTAAATATATAATAAATCGATCTCACCATGAAGTGGATGTGCTGTGCTAGTGTTGTGATTACACTCCTGCCCCTCGTACTCCTCCCCCAGCCCACTGCCGCCCAGTTCAATCAGCGCAGGCAAGGTAGTCAAAGCCACTTAATTAGTCGAGAGCTTTTCGCTTCGCCATATCTTTCTCTCTATATCTAATATCTGTAGAACTTTTTCGACTGATCTAAGCAAACAACAAACCAGTTCCATTAGCAAAGCATCTGGGATTTTAATCAATAACCATAAATACATTAACGCATTTAAATTAGATGGTCTAAATATCGGTTCGCATAGACCTCTGACCTGTGTGAGTCTTACGACATCTTCAAGTTCAATGGCAAGTTCGTTGCTCAAGTCTTTCGATTTAATGCAGCAATTTGTATTGTCTGCGAAATAAACAATCATCCCAAAATTATTCACAACGAAATTTTTTGGCCCATTGTGTTCGAGTTCAATTCCAGTTCACTAAACCGGTCACCAAGGTCGGATTTCGACTCGGACACCGACTTAAACAGGTGTTTATTATTACCCGCATCAAGTTTGATTGAGATATAGACATCTTTAGCTCGCTTGACCAGCATCAGCCGTTACGACGATATCAGATCTTAAAGATTAGCGAGAAAGTCTAATACAAGTGTTCTTGAAATAAAGTTTGTTTTACATTGTCACTACAACAAAATTAAAAAAGTCATTTATAATTCAGTATGACGCCTTTTACTTTTAAGATTTATTGTTTTGTTATTTTAATAATCACATTAGAAAGCGCTACGTTCGGGTATCAATTATACCATTCAGGTCAAAATTAAACAAAGCAGACAAAGAATAGAACTAACTGGCTATGAAATTTAAATAAATCATTTAAAATACCAAGAATAGAATTTGTTTTTTTTTCCTGTCAACTGTGAAGTATAATAATAGAGCTTTAGTGCTTGTACAATGCGGATTTTTGTTTGTAGTTTTGTGTTCTTGCTAATGATAGACTGTTGACTTGGTTAGAGGTGTGAGAAAAACATAACTAAGTCCCTCATTCCCAAAACTGACTCATCTTGAGGTGAAGGCTAAGCCGTTTAACACATGCAACTCAAATTAACCAATTCATATTTATTTTCATAAATACAAAATTTGTATTAAACACATATTCATATCTTTGTAATTGGACCTAAAGAATAAACTGGACTTCAATATTTTTTTCAATAAAATATATTGGTTTTCATATTTAAATATGTATAACCATTAGTAACGTAATCACAACAAGGAAGAACGCTATAGTCGAGTACCTCGACTATCAGATACCCGTTACTCAAAGGGAAATGGAGATATACAAGCAGCAAAGCGAGATTAAAATGCGCCACCTACCGGCGGTAGACAGATTTAAGCGTTAAGGGCGTTAGAGTGAGTCGTCGTTGACGACACCAATACATTTCAGTTAAAATTTTTTATCTAGCATGCAAATTGTGGGCGTCACAGGTTTTCGCGGTTTGTGGGCGTTTAAGTGGGCGTGGCAAACTTTTTTTAGGTCAATCGATAGGTCTTGATGAGAACAATACATTTCAATTAAAATTTTCTATCTAGCATCAAAACTGTAGGAGTTACAGTTTTGGGCGGTTTGTGGGCGTTAGAGTGGGCGTGGCAGTCTACTGAAACAAACTTGCGCTGCGTAAGAAGCTCAGGAATCTGTACGCCAAATCTCAATAGCCTAGCTCTCATAGTTTCCGAGATCTCAGCGTTCATCCGGACAGACAGACGGACAGACGGACAGACGGACAGACGGACAGACGGACATGGCTAGATCGACTCGGCTAGTGATCCTGATCAAGAATATATATACTTTATGGGGTCGGAAACGCTTCCTTCTGCCTGTTACATACTTTCCGACGAATCTAGTATACCCTTTTACTCTACGAGTAACGGGTATAAAAAGTACATTAATTTTTTAATATTTTGCGGATGTTGTCCCTATGTAAACTAAAACTTTTAACAAAGGTATAAAGAAGATTACTGAAGATCTTAAGTATTTTTGGGAAGTTATTCTTAAGTAAACTAATATTTTTTACGAAGGTATAAAGTAGATTTAAACTTTAACTGAACTTAACGGTTATAAAAGTTATAAAGAAAACTAATGACCCATGGCCCAATGTTTCTACCCAGTTCGCCAGAACTGCATCACCCCCGAGAACTATTATGGGAGTTGTGTGGCCCTGACCTACTGTCCCCAGGTGGTGAACATCTTCCAGACCACAAGCAGGGATCGGGCCCAACGCTATGTTATCGCCCTGCAGCGCAGCTGTGGCACCCGGAACATCAACGGGGATCCGGTGGTAGGGACATATCTTCGATCTATCCTTCCACTTTCCATCCTTTCTAAGCTTTGCCCTGCTTCTATTACGTAGATCTGCTGCACAGAACCCAGATATGACCCGGTCACAGAGCGACCTCGGAACCCCTTCTTCCCCACAGAGAAACCGTTTATTGGTCCCCAGCCCCCGCCGGAAGTCCCCGACAATCCCTTCCTGATCCCTAACACCCCGAGGACCACGACTACGACCACGACAACCACAACGACTACAACTCCAGCTCCCATTCCAGTTACCTCATCCGAACCCTTGGTGGAACAACGGGGTCTCTCGTGCCGTGGACCAGACACCAAGCCCGGAAATTGTGTGGGTAAGTACTTAACAGTTCGTTAGTAATATTAAAACAAAAGCGGGATTTACCAGGCAATACGTTTTTTGAGATCAAGGTGTAACCACACGTGTTTGATATTATTTTTAAGATTTGCTTGGGGAAGCTTATGTCATATATTGGGTTCATTTGAACTTTATGTTAGACATGCAATCAGAACTGAACGGGTATAATAATTTTGAACCTGTTTCTTATACATATATAAGAAAAGTATTGTGGATACAAATGTTTCAAAAAGCTTTATATATACAAGGGAACAGATAATTTGTTTTTATAAAAATGTTTGTATAAAAACAACATAAAAATGTTAAAAAATCAAAAAAATTAAAAAATATTTAAATATTGCTCTTCATTTAGAACTCAAGGAGTGTGCATCGCTGTTAAATCAGTTGCGGGTGAAGCAGCGGGACGAGACCTTCGCCAATTTCTTGCGGGCCTCCAGATTAACTTGCGGCAACCAGGGCACCCAGGTGTGCTGTCCCAATGGACTGACGGTCACCACTCCGTCTCCCATTATTCCCAAGAACACGAACGAAATACCTCGCCGGCTGCCCAATGTGGAGGAAGGATGCGGCTCAACGCTTGGATATTACAAGAAGATCGTGGGCGGCGAGGTGAGCCGGAAGGGGGCGTGGCCCTGGATCGCACTGCTAGGATATGACGATCCCTCCGGATCGCCGTTCAAGTGCGGAGGAACCCTGATCACCGCCAGACACGTGATCACGGCGGCCCATTGCATCAGGGACGATTTGTAAGTTCATATTCTTCTAACAATTTATATATTATATTTTAATCGGATTTTCCCTTTTTTTAGGCAATTTGTCCGTTTGGGAGAACATGATCTGTCCACGGACACGGAGACTCCCCATGTAGACATCAATATTGCAAGAGTATGTCGAAGATTATAAAAAAATAATATATTTGTAAAATATTTACTGGGTCTAGTTTAAATCTTGAACATTTAATTGTTCAGAGAGATTCAGATTAGATACATCCAGGCTCCAAAATGTATTTAAAATGTTAATGGGATTATTATTATTAATTATTTAAGTCTTTTCTTTGGTATAGTATAGTAATACTATTTATAACATGCTTCATTTCCGTTCTGACAACCTCCTATTTCTCTTTCCAGTACGTGTCACATCCGGAGTACAATCGCAAAAATGGACGCAGTGACATGGCCATCCTTTATCTGGAACGGAACGTGGAGTTCAACTCCAAGATAGCGCCCATCTGCCTGCCACACACGCCCAGTCTACGCCAGAAGTCATACGTGGGCTATATGCCCTTCGTCGCCGGATGGGGAAAGACGATGGAGGGCGGAGAGTCGGCGACCGTGCTGAACGAGCTCCAAATCCCCATCTACGAGAACGGGGTGTGCATCCAGAGCTACGCGAAGGAGAAGCGATACTTCTCCGCCGATCAGTTCGACAGTGCCGTCCTCTGCGCCGGCGTTCTTTCCGGAGGAAAGGATACGTGCCAGGGCGACTCCGGCGGTCCGCTGATGGTGCCGGAGGGCGGTACTCCGGGTTTGCGGTTCTATCTGATCGGCGTGGTGTCCTACGGCATCGGGTGTGCCCGACCAAATGTGCCGGGGGTTTACTCTAGCACACAGTACTTTATGGACTGGATCATCGCACAGGTCCAGCAGACACCCTGATTTGCCATCGCCTACATGTTGCACCTAGGTCATAAGAACCCAAACTTAATCTAAGCCCCTAATCAGAACATAACGATTGATTTAAGTTTTGACATCTGATTAACTATGGATTATGAAAAATAAAAATATTTATTACAAATCTAATCAGCTAATTAGTTTCAAAATAAATATACTTTTATCTACTTTACATTTGCAATTGTAATAATGTCATTGACAATATTCTTTAAATATTTGAAAATGTGGGCGCTCCAGTTTTGGGCGGTTTGCGGGTCTAGCAATATTTTTCAATCAATTGGTACTACCAATTAAATTTACAGTTAAAATGTGTATTCTACCTTAAAGACTGTAGGAGCCACAATTTCGAATGGCTTGTGGGCGTTGAAACAAAATTGGTCACACTGATATATCTAGAATGTGCATGCTTAATCCCAACATTGTAGCTTTAATGGCTTTTGAGATCACTAGATATCAATGAAATAACATATTTCACAAAGATTTTACCTATTTTAAATAATAAACTTGTTAATGGGTGATTAACTTTCTTCAAAGAATTATACAGAGTTATGGATTGGCCATCGTATTACGGATTACATCACTGAAAATACCTGATCATCAGAAATCAAGTTTATTAAAAATTTGCTACAAAGTATATGCCGTGATATAAAGTTTAATAAATTATGTAAAACCGTTAAGCTGGGTAAGACTTTCTTCTGCAGCTTTACAAATATTAATTATAAGTGCTATACAATTTAGTATATGGAATGGTGAAAAATTAATATAATATATTTAACTTTTTAATCTATTGTCTACTTAGATTTGAAAAAATCATTTAAAAATTGCATACTTTTCCGAATTAGTTAATATTGAACTATTGAATTATCTAATATAACACAAACTTTTTCGACGAGAGAGCTTCCGGGAGAGAGCCCGTTAGATTGAGAAGTCGGTAATTCCCACGAGAACCCGGCATATAAAGCTGGGCTGTGGGGGTCGACCGCTCATCCGAATCGAAGACGCGATCGCTTTGGTCACGCTGGCCACGGAAAAACATAGAAAACAAGTACAAGATCCTTCTTATAAGCAATTCGGTTAACGTTATTAGGAGATAATCGTAATATATCGATCTCGCCATGAAGTGGATGTGCTGTGCTAGTGCTGTGATTGCACTCCTGCCCCTCGTACTCCTCCGCCCGTCCACTGCCGCCCAGTTCAATCAGCGCAGGCAAGGTAGTCAAAGTCACTTAATTAGTCGAGAGCTTTGCGATTCGCCATATATATTATTATCTTTATCTAATATCTGTATAACCTTTACGACTGATCTGAGCAAACCAGTTAACAAGGCTTATGTGAATTAAATCAAAAACTGTTTTAATGCGTTTATCCTAAATGGTCTAAATATATATTTGCATAGTCCTCAAACAAATTCTAGTTCAATGGAAAGTTTGTTGCTCAATTCTATTGATTTTACAACTGGGTTAGTCCCCAAGGCTGAATTTATTACTCGCGTGCTGCCCAGTACTTGTAAAGTTTAATTCGTACATAAATAGACGTCTATGACTGGCTTGAACAACATCTTCCGTTACGACGTTTTTAGATTTTGTAAGATTATTCTAATGCAATTGTTCTTGGGATAAAGTTTGTTTTAAGTCATTTTGAGGAAATCGCTACTCAAGTAAATTAACTGCAACTCTTGGAAATGGAATACAGTTGATTAATACGAAATCTATCGAATGGATGATCCATTTTTTTTATTTGCCCAGTTAGCCAGAGCTGCGTCACCCCGGATAACTATTTTGGGAGTTGCGTGGCCCTGACCTACTGTCCCCAGGTGGTGAACATCTTCCAGACCACAAGCAGGGATCGGGCCCAACGCTATGTGATCGCCCTGCAGCGCAGCTGTGGAACCCGCAACATCAACGGGGATCCGGTGGTAGGGACATATCTTCGGTCTATTCTACCACTTTTAATCCTTTCTAAACTTAGCCTTGCTTCTCCTACGTAGATCTGCTGCACAGAACCCAGATATGATCCGGTCACAGAGCGACCTCGGAACCCCTTCTTCCCCACAGAGAACTCTTTTATTGGTCCTCTGCCCCCGCCGCATACCATACCGAGCACTACGACTACGAGAACCAATTCCTTCGTCTTTCCAACCTTTCCAAGCACCACGACTACTACTACGACAACCACAACGACGACCACTCCAGCTCCCTTTCCGATTACTACATCGGGACCCTTTTGCCGCGGACCAGACACCAAGCCTGGACACTGTATAGGTGAGTTTTCTTAAAAATTGTTAATAATATCATTTACAGTGATTTATTTCTTTATCTGTTCGGATCACATCTTTAAAAAAATAGAGTATAGTTAGTTTAAGTGGTAACATATAGAGTTTTAAAAGAACCATATTACTTGGTACCAACCAATAATTTAATAAATATCCCTAACTACTTTTCTGCAACTACCTTAGAACTCAAGGAGTGTGCACTGCTCGCCAAGGAGCTGCTGGCGAAACCGGAGGACGAGGTCTACGCCAAATTCTTGCGTGCCTCCAGATTAGTTTGTGGCAACCAGGGTTACAGGGTGTGCTGTCCCAATGGACAGGCGGTCACCACACCAAATCCCAATACCTCATCGGGTTCCATTATTCCCAGGAATACGGACGAAGTGCCTCGTCGGCTGCTAAATATGGAGGATGGGTGTGGCTATACGAATGCACCGAATAAAAAAATCGTGGGCGGTTTAGTGAGCCGCATAGGGGCGTGGCCCTGGATCGCACTGCTGGGCTATACGAATACCCGCAAACGGTTCCAGTGCGGAGGAACCCTGATCACCGCCAGACACGTGGTCACGGCAGCCCACTGCATCACCACAAATCTGTGAGTTCAAAATGATAAATTAAATAATTGTCTTATGTTTTGACCTTTCATCTATTCTTAGGTCGTTTGTGCGCTTGGGAGAACATGATCTGTCAACGGACACCGAGACTCGCCATGTGGACTATAAAATAGCAAAGGTAAGGTTGAGTTTAGGATTTGATCTGATATATATAATTTAACATTTCTACTGAGTCATATAAATATTTTAAGGGTTCTTTACTAATAAACACCAATTTCTTCTTCCAGTACGTGACCCATCCAGAGTACGAAGTCCGATTCAAACGCGGTGACTTGGCCATTATATTTTTAGAGCGAAACGTGGAGTTCACCTCCAAGATCACACCCATCTGCCTGCCACACACGCCTGATCTGCGCCACAAATCCTACGTGCAACACAATCCCTTCGTCGTAGGATGGGGAAATACGATGGAGTACGGTGAGTCCGCCACCGTGCTGAACGAGCTTCAAATTCCGATTCAGGAGAACAGTCTGTGCCGCCAGAGATTTGCATATAGTTTTTATTCTAAGAACCTGCCCGCCAATATGTTTGACAGTTCGGTCATCTGCGCCGGAGATCTTTCCGGAGGCAAGGATACGTGCCAGGGCGACTCCGGTGGTCCGCTGATGATGCCGGAGTCGTATAACTACACTTTTCGGTACCATCTCATCGGCGTGGTCTCTTACGGGATCGGGTGTGGCCGGAAAAACACTCCGGGTGTCTACACCAGCACACAGCACTATATGGACTGGATCATCCAACAAGTCCAGCAAACATCCTGAGTTGCTATCACAAAGACAAGACCTAACAAAATTTATAAATGATTTCAGGTGATATCGATTTAAAAATTAGCTACTAGGCTAGAACTATTGGATTAGTAAGATTAAATTGAATAAATAATATAATAAATTATTAAACATGTAGCTATCCATTGACTTCAAAACTAAAACATTTTTTTAATTATCTATAAGTAAAAGTTCATGATTTGAAAATTTTGTTTTTCATAAGTTTCTTATAATTTCAAAACGAATTCAATTCTATAGAAAACATAGATATTTATAGATTCAGGCGATCGAGTTTTGACCAGTAAACTTTATAAATAAATAGGTAATAAATTGAGTTATATATATTTTGACCATTCAGTAAACCCAGTACAGTCGTAAACCTAATTCCAGTACCAAGCTTTAAAATACCTTGTGTTCTTTGAGTGCAAATATTGACACTCTTTGCTTTGTTCTCAGGATGTCTAATCCCTGCGTCCGATGCCTGAAGGCATAAGGATCCCTTTTAGGGTTACAGCATCTTATGCAAATCGAGCGCAAGACGCCCATCAATCATTCTGGTAATGATCGCGTCTTGGGCGAACCGAAAAGAACCCAGAGGATAAAAAAAAAGGGGTACGCATATGTAAATGCGGGGTAAGAAGGCAGCCTGCGCTCCTGGACATGAACTGCATTGTAATTGCTCCGGCAGCCACAAGCGGATTTGCATAACTCAGAAAAGGAGGGGAGTGCTAAGAATGCCCCTATACGATCTTTAGAGAGTATCGCTTGGGCGCCATCTCCTGGAGGGGAACAAAGGGATGGGTTCCCCCAAATCCCTTCTCGCTTTCTTTTCTCCAACAGCAGATGAACAAATCAAATGCCGAAAGTACAAAGCAAGACGAATCCTTTTTAAAGTCAGAACGCCTCCCGCGCATTTGTGGCCACATGCTCTGGTTTCCTTTGAGATTCCAATCGCATCTGGCAGATGATTTAGTGTTTATAAAGAGAGAGTACGAGAGTTCATTAAACTGCATACCCCAGAAATATTTGTCCCTGTTCTCCTCACAATTAAGATGCAATCACAACAGCGAATGGAAACCGATCTGCAATCATCATCCGATCATCATCATCATTAATAATGCCAACCAAATTTGCATGCCCCAGGAATTTGGCAAAAATTTGCATACCAAAGCCGATGCCACAAGGGTGTTAATTTGCTCATTACCCGATCCCAGATCAGACATCTTTATAGCCAATCCCGAAAATATTCGCAAGGGTTCGCAAGGATCTTAACTGACCTTTTTTGCGACGTCAAGAGGCGAACAATGGAATTGCCCACAATCGCAAATGTAAACACGATCAGTCAACTTCAATGGGTGCAATTCTGATCTATGATCTCGATGATCTCTCAATTTGCCAAGATCAATGAGGGCAATTGTCTGGCATTGTCTTTTAGCTCTCTTGTCACCTCTCTATATAGCGGCTCTATTGACTGTTTATATTTGAATCGAGTTTAAAGATTTATCTATAGACCTTTACCATATATCTAAAATTTGTTATCTATTTTCCACTATATTCTGCAAAGAACTTATAATTCTTGAAATTGTCTATGGCGAATTCCCCTTAGTTTTTGTATGACCCCTTTTTTTATTTGGTATACGGAACCTTTTGTAACGAAATATAAGTTTGAAAACATTTTTGTTACTCAGTTAAAATGATTAGACTTTTTTATTGATGGATAAATAATGATTTTATTACAGTGTTTAGTATAGATCACAGAGACTACGAACTAAAAATTGACTTAATACACCTAAAACAAGGTTTTCTCTTAGACGAACGTAAATTAATTGAATTGCACTGAAAATAAAACGATTTGGGTGTATGTTTATCCAAATCTGGCACTACGAATGGCATCCATCCGATCCTCACCACCTGCAGTTAGGCTTCCGGCGAGGCGGCGTTCCTCTTGAGGGAGAGCACCTCGTTCAAAGTGGGACTGAGTGCCAGGGCGGGATTGGCTACCGCGATGATGTTGTCCCCCGCCGCGGATATCACCTGGACCCCACTGAGCAGCGGACCCGAGGTCGAACCACTCAGATCCACCGATTCCCGGGGCGGCGAAGAGGTCTCCATCCGTCGGGAGACCGGCGATCGATCACTTTCCATTCCATTGCAGGGCGTCTGTGGGGTAGAAAATGGTTTTCCCTTATTCTAAGGCTTTTCCCGGGGAGCGGAGTGCCCTCGTAGAGCTCCAACACATACTCACTGGCATGGTCGGCGAACTGGAGTTGCTGAACGAGAAGCGCGAGTCATTATCCTCATAGTCAGCCGCCTTGCCAAGTCTGGAACATATGCAAATAAAATAATATTTGATTAATACGAAACTTTAGGTGCTAATTTCTATGTATATCTACTCTTTTTAAAATTTTGTCTAATGATAAAATTATCTATTTGTTTCCAGATAATTCTCTTTTTAAAATTATTTTTCTGAAAATAATGTTTGTGTCTTAAGTCTTTTGAAAATCGAGTTTTAGTGGTTCAAACTTTAGTTCAATACTAATTCATAACTAAAGAAAAATGTAAAGTTAATATTTTTATTACATATTTTGGCAATTATTTAGTTAAGATAAAAACTTTTCTTAATATAAATTGAATTATTGATGTTGCTTATGAATAATATTATCTAATCTTTGATGGTATCTTGTAGACTTTTATACTCACGAGAACTTGGCAATTTCCGTAAGATCGAACGGCGGCTTGGCGAACTTTTGGTACATGGCAAACAGATTGTAGCGTGAGTCCTCAACGGCTTCCTTTATTTATGGGTTGGATTTATCAACAAGATCGGGGATTAAAGTCTCTCATTCTCAAAGAAGCCAAATTGAAGCTAAGCGAGGCAAGGAGGCAGATGCGTGGAAAGAGTTTTTTGTTTTGGAGGTCAAGGAAGAAGACACGTGGATCGTTGGTTTTGGCAATTTTGTAGAATTTATTTATTGACTCAACAGTGGGAAAAGGTACAAGAATATATTGCAAAACGACTACTGACTAAATAACTTGGATTTAAATATAAGAATATTTAACTAATTATTTAGGGTTAAGGGTTAGTGATTAGAATCATGTTAAGGATTAGTAAGTTTTTAATATATTAAATACCATACAAATCCGCAGTAATACTTTACAAAAACATAACCATTTAGGATTATAATAATTGCATGCCAATAGTACTAAGATTTCAAAAAGTTGTTATGGATTTAAGGATTATATTTGATACTTCATAACCATAACAGTTATTTTAGTGTTATTTAATCAGCCTTTTCTACAACTTTAAAAGGCCTTTAAGACCAGATTAACTACTCAAGAGTACAACAAGATAAGTCTACATAAGTAAAAGATAAGGATTACGAGATATATCTAGTCTACGGAAAAAATACTGTAGCGTAAATTTGGACCCCCCTCCACAAGTCGAGATATTCTGAGAAGAACCTCTCGACCAGGATTAGTAATTCTGTGCTGGCGATCGCGAAAGCTGCAAGGAAATTTTGGGTTATCAGGGAGATCCTCCTTCCGGAGGAGAACTCCGAAGCGAAGCTGAAGCACTGCACCGGGCGATGGACCTACGGCTCTACGGATTCTAGCTTCCTTACCCGGTTCAAGTCGAGAGGCAGCTGGGCGGCCTCCGTGGAGGAGAGTCGCTGTCGCTTGGAGGGAACGGCGGTGGCGTCACTGGACTCGCAGTCCGTATCCCCAGGTCCAGCTCGTCCTCCACCCAATCCCGCTCCCTGGGAGGGCAGCTGGGTGAGCAGACCACCGTACCGAGCAATGCTGGCGGAATGGCCGAAACCTGCATCCTTGACAATCTGGCGGGCCAGGGGGAACAGCTCATCCCTGCGGGTTAGCAGCCAAATGGTCTGGGGATTCCGGCACAACTGGGCAGCCGCCTCATTGACGCACACCTCGTGCAAGGTCAGCGGCTTCTCCGGCCTCCGCTTGCAATCGAATCGCCCATAGATGGCCGAGTACTTACGGATCTCGTCCATGCGCCGCGGATCCTGTTCCGACATGGCGATCACCTGCTCCAGTTCCCGGGTGGTTCGCTTTCTGGTGGTCTGCGCACGCGGTTCCCTTTGGGGCAACTGCCTACCGATCTTCTCGGCACACATCGTAATCCGCTGGATCTGCATTTCAGTAAGGACGGGAGTGAGCTGGGGCGAACTGGAGGACACCTGGTGGGCAGTGTTCGCTGGCAGGCTACTGTTCGCCGAGGGATGGGGACTGCTGGTCAGCGGGGTGGAGGGCAGGACCAGGGGCATGGGCACCGGTGGCGCAGAGGGACAACTAATCTGGGTGACCAAGGGACCTGCGGGAACGGTAATCGAAGCGGAAGTGGGCACGGCAGCCGGGGGAAGCGGCGAGGGCTGGAAGGAGGAGGTGGCCGAGGGGTTGAACGAAGGGAACTTCTGGCGGGGCAGGGCGGGAGTGGTGTCCGGATTGAAGACCAACGCCGGTTTCGGTGGCGTTTCGCAGAGACCTGAAAGTAAGATTTTGTTCATAAGGATATCCTCAGGATATAAATGTAATATTTTAAATTATTAAAAAACATACTAAATCCATAACCCTAACTAATAATATGAATTATTATAATATTAGTTATTATATTTAACTAATAATAAATAGTTTTAAATACTGAAGTATTAAATTTAACGATCATAGATCATATAAGGATCTTAAACTTTGTTTTTAGAATGAAGTTCTCTTTTCTCGTAGGAAAATTATGTTTTTTGAAAGTACTTATTACCAATTTTGTAATTTAAAAACTAAAAAATTGTGTTATCATTGAAATTTTTGTTTATTTATTAATCCAATAGTCTAAAAAAATAAATGTAAATTAAAAAATCCTAAGCCTTTCTCAAACCTCATTTCAGCTTAAACTTGAATGTTCCATACGATAATCCTTATAGCATTATTGTGATCCTTACCCAAGTGCGGCAGCATGGGACCCTGGAAGAGTCCTGGATTGTTGGCCCACTCGTGGAGCGCCTTCTGCAGCCGGCGGACGTGGAGCGGCTTGGAGGCCATGCCCACCAGGGCCATGATCTCGAGGAACTCCTCCTCGCCGGCGTCGTACAACTGCTGCACATCGTCGCCGCCCATTTCCAGTAGGGTGTCGTAGTAGGCCAGAAGACTGGCCCTCTGGAGGACCCGGTACAGCTGCACCTCCGCCTCGTTGCCCGGTCGCGATGTGGTGATCACTGAAAGACACAAACGAAAAAAAAAAGAACAGGCTTGAAAAAGTTCCAGCAAAAAATGATATTTATTAAGTTCTGGCCTGCGACGTTCTCACAATGCTAACCGGCTATAAGAAAAAAATTTTAATTAAATTCGCTTTTTCTTACCCAAAAAAAAAAAAACTCGACGGACGTCTGGACCCTAACCCTTTTTATCGTAGAGAGCCAGCCAAGGTAAAAAAAAAAACTCGAAAAGCACACACAAAAAGGATGAGGCAAGAGAACCTGGGAACCAACTCATCTGCATAAGCATGGTGGTTCAACCCCTTTCGAGGGACCAAGGATCCGATACGATCCGATTTGAGTCGGCAAACTCGTTAGAAATGCGTCACGCATGCTGCAAGATTCCGTCAAGGATTGCCAGGATCATTTTAATCTTAATTTTTTTCTTGGTTTTATCACTTTCGATTTTTGGGCCAAAAAAAAAGGAAGGATATTTTATAAAGGGCAAGAGCAGTTCGTGTGAAATACATGGGTATATGTACTCGCTGTACCTACAGCGAAATTCAAAGAAACCCACTCTTGACTAGGCAGCGATTTATTGCTCATACTAATGAATCCCCCGATCGACGAGGCTGTTACTGTTATGGCAGCACAGCTCTAAATGGACGACGCCGATGACGAGGATGATGATTATGTCAAATCGTAAATAATTATGTGAGAATATTTCAGGCGGCGACAACGTCTCCAGCCAGCTTTAATTAATAGAAAAACGAGCTGGCCGGCTAAATTATAACAAACTCAGGGCAGAAAAAGCTGCGTACATCGATTGCCATCCTCTGTTTCCAATGGCTTTTTTTTTTTTATTTTTTGCCTTGGTCATCTGAAAGCCACAAGCGCATCCACCAACGACCAACACCAAGGATGCGCACTTCGCGCCATTAACCCACGCTCCGCGCCATGGGGTTGTTACGATTTATGGCCAGGGCCCAAGAATAATTCGCATTCTTAGCCGCTTAATTGGGTATATCATAAATAGTTTGAAAACTAAAAAATATCAGCCCAGTTACGTGGACTTGAAAATGTGGTTGTGGTCGGCTAAGCGTCAACTTTGATAGAGACTTGAAAGTGCTCACAAATGCCTGCTAATCCAGTAAACAAGTGACAAGGTTGGTGTAAACTAGTTTAACTCGAGGGTTAAATGTGGTTAAAGTTTGCAGCTTATGTGGGTATGATTTTAGCTTGGAAGAAATACATTTAAACTAGGAATAAATATTCTTAAATAAGAATTTTACAACAAAATATTTAAATATTTTGTACAATTTGTGGTTAAAAATAAATACTATAGGTAACCTCGTAACCTCTAATCTATATACATAATATGTTTTTTTATTTTAAGCAGAGAACACAGGGGTTTTATTACTTTACAAAATATTTCAGATTTGATATTGTCTATACAACTTAATAATGTTCATTATCTCCTTAGTAAAACTAAAATATTTTAGAAAACAAGGAACAAAATAGTATTATAGAGTGACCAGTTGAGGGTTAATAGCATGGCCACACTTCACTTCTATGCGACCACTTGTCGTCCCACTCCCTCATCTTAACTTGGGTATTTAACGCAGACCTGCGTAAGTCGGGAGTCTGGTGGAGCGACAGAGAGGGGCATACGGTGGCAGCAATAAATAAATGAGACGTGATTTCAATACACAAATAATGCCGGGCAGGGAGGATCGTAGGATCGCGAGGAGAAGGGTTCGGTATGGGGATCGGTGGAACTGGGGACACTTTGTTGTGGCTGCTCCAGCTCCTCTGCTTCTGCGGATTGTTGCTGATTTTTTATTTATTTAATTTGCGGGTTTGTTTTTTTTTTACCCACTGCCCGATGCTTCGGCCGCTGCTGTTGTTGTCATTTGCTAAATATGCTGTTTTTATGCGAACGGCAAATGGTAAAGATGGACAAAAAATTAACTGCAGTAACTTTTTAGTTGGCACTTGGCAGCAATAATGACATTCGACGCCACATACCAAGCAGCTGCCCAAGCAGCCAGGAGCAGAAAACGGAAAACCGCGAACCGCCAGCAGGATCGGCACAAAGAAAAAATATGGTATTACTTACAGGTATTATAGGAAAAAAATTTCCTATTTTAATTTTAATTTGTTTTTTTTTCATATTATATATTTTTTAAATATTTTTGACCGCGTTCAAACGGAAAAGAAATTTCGTGAAGATCATATATTGAGGACTAATTAGAAAACTTTTTCTTCCATCCTACAAATTCTATAGATTTTTGTTTTGCCATAAAAAAAGAAATATGAGATTTAAATATTTTATGCTCGTATTAAATAAAAGCATTCATAAATGCTTATAAATTATACTACATCATTATTAAAGAACTATAAAATATTTTTCACAGTGCATTAAGAAAATGCGTGTGAGTGCCAGTGTGTGTGTGAGGGGGCTAATGTGTGCGTGTGGAGCGGAGCAGTCAATCGTGCGATCGCTTCGATTATGGGCAAAAAGTAGACGCCGGACTTGGCAGACTTTGACTTGGAGAGTTGGACCTGGAATCGGAACCTGGAAGAACCTGGGACTTGGGACTTGGGACTGGGGACCTGGGTCCGAGTCTGAGCCTGAGCCCGAGTCCGAGTCCGATTCCTCATCCTCCCTTCCACTCATCGGCATCGGCAATGGGCAAGTAACCGAAACTATTTCTCATATACAACGATAAATTAAAAGCCAACTTTTTCAACGACCAAATTCTTGTCGATCAAAATTCCATTGGTGGCAATAACTTGGCCCGTACGTGCCAATGGCCAATGGCCCCTGCAGACGGACCATAACCATAACCTGCACAGCGAAAGAATAATGCCCACTGAACTTTTAAATGCATTGTTTTGGGGGTAATTACCATCTTAATCTTATCAGTTTTGGAAAGAAATAGGTCTCGTTTAAAAATACATTTTCATATACTTAAGTAAATTTTGGAAAGTTAATAATATATTCCAAGTTATTTCGGATAGTATTTTAAAGTAAAGAGGAAAATGCAGTTTAGGTATGATACAACTAACCTATATCCTAGATTAACTGTTAAACCAAATGAAATTCAATCAGCATTATTAATGGGTTATATTTTTTTCTGTGTGGCGACATCTTTTTCCCGGAGGTTGAGCATTTTTCCAGCGAGAACGCGTCTCGTTGGTTGACTCTCTTGCGAACCGAGATTTATGGATATGTTTTACTACCCTCATCGCTTGGGGTGAGTTTTTTTCCCGTTTCTTTTCAAAGTTTTTTCCTGTCACCCCTAAGGCCATGGCCTATCATCATGAGGTTGATCTAACGGCTGCCTAGGAAACGGCATCTTACCTGGGTCTTGAACAGATCTCATTGGATGAAGTCTGCCATTGCTACCTGAAGGAAGCCTAGACCTTGAGCAGTTATGCAAAATAAGACACCCCGAGCAATCGGGCACCAAGGAAATGAAAGAAGGAACAGGATCTGCGATTTTTTAAAGACATTAAATTACCCAGGAAAGGAAACATTTCAGAGGCCTTTGTTATCAGACTAAGGACTTTAAGGACTAGGGACAAGCTTCTTGGGTTCCAAGTGTTTTCCGTTACATAAATGGTGCCAAACAATGGAAGCTCGAGAAAAGAGCGCGAAAATTGCAGCATGTGGCTGGAGGAGATTTGCTTGGCTGCAGGGAAGCTTAATAAAGGATTCGATGCGGTCGAAGGATCAGGACTGGGCACAATAACAGTTAAATATGAGAACCCGTCTACATCTTTGAATAACGAATAAGATGTGCTTGACTTTAAGTTAGAATTCCAATTTAAAAAGTTCTAAGCATACATTCATTTAATTCACCTAATTTTATTAAAGATAATAAATAAAGAATTTACCTTATCTATAGCTATATTTCGACTTAGTTTAAAGATAATCTAATAGAGCCGCGACATCTATATAGAAAAGTTTACCTTTCATAAAACATGTGGCACCCAAAACTAAATGACGTATTCAAATTCTTATTAGATAGCAAGGAAATAATTCTTTTAAAAACCTCCATTTTTATCCACGACTGTACCTAATATTTAACTAATTCGAGATATTCGATTGTGACATCCCAAACCAAGTATGGGTACTTAACTTAAATAATTCGGACAAATTTGGAATACTTTAAAAAGCTGGTATTTCTATCCACAACTGTACCTAACTTAAACTTCAGTTTGATAGTATTTATGATACCGAAAAGGATCACTCTCACTTTTAAACAAAATATAGTATTTTACTAATTACTTACTTGTTCCGTTCGCATTCCTTCCGAAGATCTTGCCCTGCGGACTCATGATGGGACTGGAGGATGCCGACGGAGCTCCCGAAAGGGATCTCTGACCCTCGGATAAGCCGCTGGCCAGGGACAGATTGTACAGATCCTCCACCTTGTGAATTTCCAGACTTGTGGTTAGCAGCTGGGACTGTGTGGCGGATGCGGATGCGGATACAGATGCGGATGCAGAGGCAGAGGCGGATGCGGATGCGGAGCAAGTGGAGGCGGCTTGACTGTGTCCTTTGCTGCTGGTGCTCGCAGCTGGCGATGGACTGGATGTGGATGTGGTGGTGGCCACCGCCGTCGTGGGAGTTGTAGGATTTGAATTCGCCTCCATTGCGTTGACAACCCGTTGATAAACGATGTCGAATTAAATTATCGCGATTTGTACGAAAGACGAACAAAAACCAGGCACAAACACAAACAACCAAGACGAAATGCATGCAAACTAGGATCAAGGATCAAGGATCTTAGATTCGGGGTGAGTACTACAAATCTACGCTTAACTACACTAGATATTTGTATCTCTCAGGAGAATGTAAAACAGAAGAATGTAACGGCAGTAACGAGATTCGCGTCAGTTTCAACGATCTCTGCGATCCGCTCAGCTCGAGGCCAGACGAACTTCTGTTCTCGAATCCCAGAACGGACATCTCAGGAACCCTTTTGGAACCGGCCGATGCCAACGAAGCCCAGCGAAACCACCCGAAGTCCACCCGAGTGCCATGCGCTTTCGTTTTCTTTCAGCAGGGAAGTATAGTTTGTTATAACTCGGGCGAAAAGGGTTAAAATCAGGGATAAAAACAAAACAAAACAAATCGTATGGAGGGTGAGGGACGTAGGACATTGGTTTCCACGTTTCCACTCGAGGGTTACTTTTTATCTGGTGAAGCATTCGATTCTCTTATTAGAGAATGCCTCTCTTCTCTCCAAAATTGAGCGTTTTTGAGTGAGTCTTTGTGCTCCGCCTCTTAAGAATCACTCAAAGATCCGACCGCTTGGTGCCTAAGAGCCCTTCCTGAAAATTCTTTTTAAAAACACTTTTTTTTGGTAAAAATTTCCGTTAAGTCTGCTGGGAATATTTAAATTTCTTCAAATGCAAGATGTGAAGTAATGTTTAATAAAAAAAAAGAGGGAAAAGAGGGATCTTAAGATCTCTTTTTTCATGTACTTAAAAATCTTAATTATTTTTCGGCCAAATGAAGTAAACTTGAATAGTTTTTGCAAAAACAAAACGTCTTTTCTGTTAATTTTTTTTAATAAAAAGAAATTTATTTATGAGTAAAATAAAATAGTCATGATTCCAGTTTAAGGCCCCAACCCATTTTCAAACAAATTCTTATATAACTGAAGATTTTTTTTGTATTTATTTGGTATATACAAAAACAGTTTACCATAGGGCGTTATCAAATAGGGGAATACTTTTAAAGATTGCCGTCTACGCTACCGATAATCGTAATAGTTAATATAGTTGTTTTCTGGGTTTCGAGCCATTAGAGTTAGGGTTAGGTTAGGTATGAATAGATTACACTAGGATGGGTTTACGTTAGCAGTCGAAGAGCGGGAACCCCTTAAAAACAATCGTAGGCTACACCGGGCCTAACTTTTTTTTTGTATTTTTGGCCAGGAAATTGCCACAAGAGCGGGGTTCCTCTCGCACATGGTGTCTGTTTGTCCTATGCGAGAGATTCCTCACTATAAGTTATTTACGCTGATGATCTGGTTGATCCAGCCGATGAAAGAGGACGTCTTCACATAGACGCCGGGCACATCCTGGCGTCCGCAGCCGAATCCCCAGGAAACGAGGCCGGCGAGCTCGTAGAATCCATCATCCTGGCAAACCAGAGGGCCGCCTCCATCACCCTGGCAGGCATCGTGTCCCTCCTCTCCGCCGGCACAGAAACTGGAGGCGGGCAGGATGAAGATCTTCTCCGTCACGGCGTTGACCTTTCGGATGCACTCCGTGTCACTAACAATCGGAATCTCTGCTTCACGTACTCGCAGGGGAATGGGACCCGCTATGGAAAAGGAAGATCAAAAGTTTGAGATTTCGTGGGGACTATTTTAAGGATCTGTCAACAGTACCTTCTCCCATATATCCATATCCGGTCACAGTGCATCGCTTGCCCGCCGCATGGCTAACTCCTCGAGCCGGGAGACACACCAAGCACACTCCATCCCGGAGCTCCGCTTGGCCATGGAGCTTCAGCAGGGCAATATCGTTGTCCAAGGTCTGGCTGTTGTGGTTGTGGTGGATGTACGTGGTGGCCACGCGCAGTGTTTGAGCCCCCGGACTGCCGTATTTTCTAGTCAGATCGTAGTCGCCCACACGCACATAGATGGCATCCCCGGATCGAACAATGCTGAAGAGGTAAACATAACAGATGTTAGAAATATTTTACCATTTTCCTAAGATAGATTATCTCGAAAAACAAACTTTTGATCACTTTTTTCTTGATTTCGAGAACATTTCTTTCTTGACTTTCATCTCTTTTTAAAAATCCATTCCTCTCAATGAACGAAATCAAGAGCACTTTCTGCTTGATTTCAAGAATATTTTTTCTCAAAAAAGTGAGAAGATTGTTTTTTCTCAAAAAAGTGAGAAATGAGCTTGCATTTTTTCTGATCTAATTTTTCTGGGTTCACTTACTTAGTGACGCAATGGGCTGCCGTGAGAACCCACTGGGTTCCGATGAGAGCTGCTCCACAGAGATATTGATTGAGGGAGTTGATCAAGGCCACCTGCCAGCACCACTCCCCATTTTCGCCATCCTCGCCGCCCACCACGCGTGCCCTTCGCCGCCCACTGAAATTGGACTGGAGTCCGTGGAGCGATCTCTGTTGCTGATAGTACTCTGGATAAACCAGTTCCGGCTGGTTCATGGACTCCTGGTGATTGTGATAGGAGCGGAGTTGGTTGCTCTGCAGACTGCTGGTTTCGACAAGGTCACCCAGTTTATCGTTGTGAATCTGGATGGGCACAATGGCGGATCCCAGGACCAACCTCTCATTAGATTTGTTGAAGTTACCGGAGTAGCCGGCGGAGGAGGTGATCTGACGAGCTGTCCTCTGTACTCCGTATTTGGCACGGGCATAGGAGACCAGAGAAAGAGCTTGGGATTGGGCTCGTCCTGTACGCAGAGTTCCCTTGACTCCGCAAACGTACTTGGAGTAGACATGTGGTCTCGGGGTCGTGGTCGTCGTGGTCGTGGTGGGTGGTGTCGTCTGAGGTTGTGGTGGAAGGCCTGCTGGTCCCGAAACTGGATAGTAATCCCCGTAGTTGGGCGCCGGCGGCGGTGGCTGGTATGGATTTTGATGATGGGGAGCCATCTGCGGTGGTGGTGGTCCCTGTGGCGGTGGGTTGTTCATGTAGGAGTAGGGTGGGGTCTGCGGGGGATACGCCTGGGGTGGACCAATGGGCGGTGGGGGTGGTGCCGGATAGTAGGCGGTATCGTTGCGCGTCTGGAACTGTTGCTTCTCAAGGATCTTGCTCTTGGGAGCACAGCAAATCTGGCCGGAACGCTTGCAGCGGAACATGTCAGTCATCTCGGCGTTTTCTGAGGGTGAAATATAATATTTGAATGTTAGATGTCCTTAAAACCGTTTTCTCGATCTCAAATGATAGAAGAGATCTATTCAATCTTAATTTCTTAAAGTCGTGATACTGAAAAACATAATTGTGACTGCTTCTATCTGTATTACAAGAGTACTTCATCTTGAAAGTCAAGCTCAAGAGGGCTTTGGTCTTGTTTTCAAGAACTTTTCTTCTTTATAAGCGAGAGAAATTCTCAAGTTGTGAACATTTGATTTTGATTTTAATCTTATTTTAATTTATTTAATTATTGTACTCACTGAAGCAGGTGAAGCTGAGTAGGCTGACGATACAGGAGCCAGGGCATTCCTCTCGTGGATCGGGACTTGGAGTGTTGGGCAGGACATAGGGCGGAGCTGTGGGTGGGGCCGTGGGCGAGGGCGTGGGCGGTGGCAATTTGGGCTTAGGTGCTCCAGCCCTCGAGTTGTCACAGCACACGGATCCCTTGGCACAGGTGGTGGGTGTGGAGACCAGAATAGAGGGTCTCTCGCAGAAGGCGGCCATGATGTTGAGCAGACAGAATCCTGGACAGCGTGGCACTTGAACTGGAGCCTGCGGTGGCGGTGGTGGAGGAGCTGGGGAGTTCAGAGTGCTCTCCGCAAAGGATATGATCTGGGAAAGGAAGTCACCTCCTCCTCCGCCGCCTCCTCCTCCACCGGAAGTGGAAGCTGGAGGTGGTGTCGGTGGAGAGGCAGGACGGGCAGGTTTGGCGGGCTTGGCTGCAGGTTTGGGTGCATGTTTGATGGCTGGCTTCGTTGGTGGGGCCTTAGAGGCAGGAGATGCCTCCGAAGCACTTCCGGTCACACAACAGCTTCCTTCTCCCGGACAAAAGGCCTCGGAATCAATGTCATCGCAGAAGATGGCGAATATCCCATTCATGCACTCGCCCTCGCATTCCTTCAACACCTGACCCTGACCCTGTCCGGACTTCAGTTTGTTGCTCAGTGGTGGCTCCTCCTCCTCGCCATCCTCCTCCGTCTCCTGATCCTCATCTTCCTCGGCAGCCTCCGTGGTGGTGGTTGTTGGATGCTTCTTGTGCTTGCTGGGCTTTGGGGAACTATTATTGGTTCTGGCCGGTTCCGGAGTGGTGGTGGTGCTGGTGGTAGTGGTGCTACTAGTGGATGTACTGGAACTCTTCGAAGGAGCCGATTTCTCGGATAGCGTCTGATTGGGTTTCAAGTTGCTCATGTGTTCTGGTGCCACAAGATACATTAGAATTGGAGTCTTAGTATTTAATGGTGTTTACTTACTGGCTGGAATGTAGATATCCTTGGGCAGTTTGCCATTGGAGTACTCGTCCAGGGAGACACAGCACTTGGTGCCCTCTTTGCATAGACCATCGCTGGTCAAATAGGCCTCACAGTACTCCGCTATGCGGTCCGCCACACAAACTCCAGTGCAGTCCTCTGAAAATATCACAAAGTACAAAATATAAGTTAAACTATTCGTAATTGTTACAAGGTATCTTAAGACAATTTTGATCGATGTAAAAAATGTTTACTGATAGAAAATATATATGTAATACATAATAATAATAAACCGTATTTAATAGAGGTCTTTAGAATTAAAAAAAAACAATTTGCTCTAATATCTTAAAGAATCTTTTCAAAGACCCTCTTTTTTAACGAGTTTTGATCGTGCTATAAAATTTTTTTTTTAATTTATAATAGTGTTAAATATGGTTTACTATTTTTAAAGTATTTCTCCAACTTACTGTTGGCATCCTCCGCCTTGGTAGCCTCCTCCTTATCCTTGGGCTTGACAGTGGCCACCTTCTTGGTGGTGCTGGGTTTCTTGGTGGTTGCCGATGTGGCTTTTGTG